GTTAGTTATAGAGAGTGGAAGGGAGTAAGAGATGAAGAAGTGATCAGACACATGAAGTGGAGTTACAGAGAGGTTAGTGGTAGAGCAGTTTCTAGTAAAGATGTAGTCAAGGTGATTGCCGGCTTTGTGAGTAGGAGGAGAGGGACTGAGTGACAGAGCGAAGGAAGAAAGTAGGTGTAAGAGGTCAGATGACTTCTCCGTCTGGATGTTGAAGTCACCCAGGAGGATGAGCGGAGGTCCATTTTCGGGGAAGTTGGACAGGAGAATGTCCAGTTCTTCCAAGAAATGACCTAAGGAGGCTGGCGGACGGTAGAGGACAACGATGGTTAATTGTACCGGGTGAGTGACTGTTACAGCATGGAATTCAAAGGACAATGGGGTGGATGGTGGTAGAGGGTAGAAAGAAAAGCTCCATTTGGGTGAAATGAGTAGACCTGTGCCACCACCCCTACCAGTGGGCCTGGGAGTGTGGCTGAAGGAGAAGGCGGAGGAGAGAGCGGCTGGGGTGGATGTGTTCTCAGGTGTGATCCAGGTCTCGGTTAAGCTATCGTTTGAGTACACAGGCTGATGGAAAACAATGGAAACAGCAAGACTAATAACACAAAACATCGGGGACAGCCAGCAGGCCTATCAAACTCCCAAATATGTGATTTTTTTGACTTGACGTGTGTTTGAGTCACTCAAACACACTCACACTATGAGCTACGCATTTCATTTTATGACAATTTACAGGTAATAACCTCAGATTTGAGGCACCGCTCTACACGTGAAGTGCTGATGGTTAATTAAAAATGACCAGCAGAGGGAGCTCAATGACCTGATAAGATGTGCTTCTAAAAAATGCCACATCAGCACAGCAGAAGCTGAGTTTTTTCATCTGTAGGCTGTGACCAGTTTGCATGGCTCGTTGGTCTAGGGGTATGATTCTCGCTTAGGGTGCGAGAGGTCCCGGGTTCAAATCCCGGACGAGCCCTTACTTTTTTACTCATCTTTGTTTGTGCAGCCCAAAATTGTACATTACAAATTTGTCTCAGAGGGCTTTAGAGTCTGTACACATGCAACATCCTCTGTCCAGAAACCCTCACATTGGCACACTCCCTCAAAAAAAAAAAAAACAATGGTGGGGGAAAAAAACAAAACCTCAGGGAGAACAGCAGAGGATGGAATCCCTCTCCTGGGACAGACTACAAGGGATGTCCATCCATCTTCACACCGCTTATCCTGCACACAGGGTCGCTGGGGGGGCTGGAGTCTATCGCAGCCAACTTTGGGGCGAGAGACAGGGTACACCCTGGTCGCCAGCCAATTGCAGTGCTAACACAGGGACATACAACCATCCACACTGACACAGGGAATTTAGAGTTACCAATTAACGTCATCCCATGTCTTCAGACTGTGGGAGGAAGCCAGAGTACCTGGAGAAAACCCACGCAGACACAGGGTGAACATACAGCCTCCACACAGAAAGGCCACTGGGCAAAGTCAAACCCAGGACCTTCTTTCTGCAAGGTGATAGTGCTAACCACCACACCACCCAAATGTCATGAACAACATAAAATATTTACAATGCATTCAATTCCTAAGACATAAAAAAAACTCAAAATAATTTCAATCACAGGTCATACACCGATGTGAAATGAAGGGAAGACTTAACATCTATTGAATCTTGATGATTTTTTGGCATTAGCCAGAGCCAGGATGGAGCGAAATCAATCCAGCTGTACACAGCTGGAATAACTGCGCGTCCACGGGTTTCTTAAATAGACCACGGTATCGATCACAGATTTACTGATGAAATGGAGAAGCACGGCATATTTTTCACCGGCTGAGCAGCAACTAAGTATGGAAACTTATAGAGCTCCAAACTTTTCAAAAAAATCTTTTAGTGAGATTTTGTCGGGAGTGACCAAAATTTTGCCGCGCTCGCAGTCACGTGACTCAAATATCAGGGAATATGGAATTCATTTGGCGTTGTAGCCATGTTGTGCCCTGCAATCTAGTCGAATCGTTGATGAGGGCGGCCTACTGGAGATGGACAACATTGGTTACATTCTGAGAAGCAAAGACACAGCTGAAGGTAAAGCCCCAGGACATTTTGGTTTCAGTAGATGTTATTTCCTACATTCTAGTCGATTTTTGGGTGGTATGCTAAAGAATTGATTCTGATTCATCTGATCATGACTTGTAGGGCCTTCTAGACTTGAGCTGAACCTTCAGACAACTATTGTTGCGCCTTAATGACTGTCTATGTGCCACAATATGGCCTAATTATTAGACCTGTGTTTGAGATTTGACCCAGGTAAAAATGATTCAAGTAGGAAGTAAATAGGATTTGGGAACTTGGGAAATGGGAAAAACCATGTGGATACTTGTCTGATGCGGAACAATTTGGTATTGGATATTTTCAATTTCAATTTACAAATTAGGAAATATATATTGTGAAATATGTAGAAGGCAGTGTTGAGAAAGAAGTTCTTCAGAGGTAGTGAGGTGGCTCTTAAAAGAGCCGTTGTGTGAAAATCAGGCGGTTTAAGCTCGTTCCCCACCGATGCGACGGGCCAGCTGGATGTCTTTGGGCATGATGGTGACCCTCTAGGCGTGAATGGCGCACAGGTTGGTGTCCTCGAACAGGCAAAGACCCGCTCCTCTCGTGCTGGACTCCAGTTCCCAGTCGGTCGCGTCCACAGACATCTGCGCAAAGGGAACTATGCGCAGCGTGTCGGCGCAGGAGCCCCCGTCTACCTGGCGGCCGTGCTGGAGTACCTGACCGCTGAGATCCTGGAGCTGGCTGGAAACGCCGCCCGCGACAACAAGAAGACCCGCATCATCCCCCGTCACCTGCAGCTGGCTGTCCGCAACGACGAGGAGCTCAACAAGCTGCTGGGCGGAGTGACCATCGCTCAGGGCGGCGTGCTGCCCAACATCCAGGCGGTGCTGCTGCCCAAGAAGACCGAGAAGCCCGCCAAGAAGTAAAGCCGGAGACCTCCATCTACCACAAAGGCTCTTTTAAGAGCCAGCCACATGTCTGTAGAGAGCTTTGTTTCGTGTGTCTAATGGTATTGTGTATAACACTGGCCTGGTGAACCAGTAGTTATTTGCACATGTGGTAACATGTTAACTGGCTCCCTTGATGACCCTGATGTCATCAACGTGAGTGGTGTGAACCACAGATCCTTTTTAAAGTACTGATTACTGAAGAGTTCCACAGTCACGGTCCAAGATAACGTGTTTGTGGGCACCAACACATAACTCCCACATGAATATATCTATTCAAACAACTTATTCATGTAACCCAATATCTGAAATCAGCATAGGCTCAGAGGGTTTTGGAACTCGAGGTGTGTTTTTTGATGAGGCCTGTCCATGTGAGATGAGATATGCACTATTGTGTTGGTGTAATGTGTATTGGGACATAATAGTTGATTAGCAGAAATATTTTTTGACAAAATAAGATTTGGTACCAGAAGATGAGATGACCAGAGCAGAATCTGTATGTCAAGACTGAAGAGAGCGAAATAATCCGCTCCATCACCTTCTAAATCTATATAAATAAGGCCTGCTGGTTAAAATCCTGGACGATGTCAATAATACTTTGAGCCATCAGTCCGCTAAATATTTTTTTCAAAGTGAAATTGCAGATGCCGTTTGTCCTGTTCTCTTAAAGAAGCAATATGTACAGTAAACACATTGCAAGTACAGTCTCAATAACTGAAACTGAGAATTTGTAATTAAACATTTCATTTTCGGCAAATCATTGCACTTTATGTGTGAGAGAGAAACCTGACTTAATGTCAGTTTTTGTGTCTTTCTAAAACACTGTCATTGCAAACTTTACATGGAGCAATTTAATGTCATGTATTGATGAATAAGGATTTGAGTACAATATCAACGGAAGCCAACATCCACAAATTTAAAAAAAATAGGTTTTTTCTACGAAAATGAATTAGCATCATCTATTTAACATTTACAGTTCACTGTTTGGATTGACAGTGACAAATGAAACCTTTGGAAATGATTTAACGTATTGACAGAAAAATAAATGTTTTTATGTGCAGTAGTATAGTCTTGTTTGTAATGCTCAAATCCTTGACTATTCAAATCCAGTCAAAGTTGAAAAGGTTCTAGATTTAGTATAGTATGTGTTACTGGTTTGAACAGAATCAGTAGCAGTGTCATACAAAACTATTATTTTAAATTATTGTATAGTTGTAAATGATTGATTTTACTGCATCTTCTGTATGTATGCGAATTGTGTTGATGGTGCAACTATTGTGCTTATGTAATAAAAATAGAGGTCAAAAACACTTACAGGATTCTTAATAAAGCTCACAAGAACATCATGAAATTGATGATCCGAAATTTTTATCTCTAATATATGCTGACTTCATTCACCAACACAATATTGGTAATAGCTGTTACAATAACAATTACAACATTAAGCTTCTCAAGATTTTTCAGTATCAAAGCTTCAACATTTTCCGGTGTGTTTGATGATTAAAAGTTGTAAATATTCAAAATAAAACTTGTCAGCAGAGGACAAGTCCACGGTGAGCGGATCTCATTGGAAGTCTGAATGAACTGAATCATAAGCCACCATCATCAGTGTGTTTGCTGCTCCCGGAATAACTGCAGTTTATTACAAACTGATCAACATCCGATGGTTGTTTTCACCTTGAGACCCTGAATAAACATGTGGATCAGATGGAAAACGACTTTTGATGGCGATATGATGTTATTTAAATACTTTAAAGAGAGAAATGAGTGGGAAAAGCCGCTGATCACTGCTGTCCACGGCGCTGAGTAGGTGAGGTTTGGAGGCTCCTCAAACAAAACGCATCGATCATCAGAGCTCTACGTGACCTGAACACGAAGAGAAACTAGTCCGCTATCGGCTCCTCCACCTTCAGCCTCCAGCACCTGATGCCCATTTAGTTTTTAGTCTTTAATCAGTGGAGAGAAAACACAAGTGACTCGACTTTCAGACTGCACGAGGAGCTCCGGGCTGGGTTGAGTCTCTACGGTTCTCATGGTGCGTTTAAGTGCAGTCCGCTGCTTTGAGCTCTTCATCAGTCTCACTCTCTCGAGTCCTCGACGATACAAACGCACAACAACGGGACAACATGGCAGAAGTAGCTCCAGCTCCAGCCGCCGCCGCGCCCAAAGCAGCCAAGAAGAAGGCGTCCAAGCCGAAGAAGGTCGGTCCCAGCGTCTCTGACCTCATCGTGAAAACTGTGGCCGCTTCCAAGGAGCGGAGCGGCGTGTCTGCTGCCGCCGTCAAGAAGGCTCTGACCGCCGGAGGATACGATGTGGACAAGAACAAGGCCCGCGTCAAGACCGCCATCAAGAGCCTGGTGGCCAAGGGGACTCTGGTCCAGGTCAAGGGGATCGGGGCCTCCGGCTCCTTCAAGATGAGCAAGACCACCGCCGAAAAACCGGCAAAGAAAGCCGCTCCTAAAGCCACGAAGCCCGCGGCGAAGAAACCCGCAGCTGCCAAAAAGCCCAAAGCAGCGGCAGTGAAGAAAGTTGTAGCCGCTAAGAAGTCACCGAAGAAGGCCAAGAAACCCGCAGCGGCCAAGAAGGTGGCCAAGAGCCCCAAGAAGGTAGCAAAGAGCCCTAAAAAGGTGGCCAAGAGCCCCAAGAAGGTGGTGAAAAAGGCCCCTGCAGCCAAGAAAACTCCAGTGAAGAAGGTCGCTAAGCCCAAAGCCAAGAAAGCAGCACCCAAGAAGAAGTAAACTGACCTCAGTCTGAAGAACCAACACCTCTATAAAAGGCTCTTTTAAGAGCCACCCACTCCCTCCTTAAAGAGCTTTTCCTTTATTAATACACAGCCACCCATGATTATTTTTGTTTTACCTTATTGGGAACAGTCCTAATAGTTACTTAGCTGAGCTTATTTTGCGGCTGTATGACTTTCATTTTAAATGTACAGGAAAAAGTTAATGTGAGAATCCACCTCAAGTAGAAAAATTCTTACTGGTCCAAAATAATTATAAACCAGTATAACTAATACTCTTGTATGAGCAAAGTCTAATCATGTACACACAAGTTGCTGCTCTGAGGTCTGTTTTAGGCTGTTAATTCTGAAAACATCACGGTCAAATTTAGTCAGTTATGCATTCACAGCTCTGCAAATGTTTGTGTTCTCTCAACTTGACTGACCAAGTTACACATCAAGGCTTCAGTGCTGGGACATCACAGGCTCCATGGCAGTCTAAAGTAATATGGAATATACTGACAAAAAAAATATTTCCCAACAGACAAAAAAGCATGTCAATATTTACCTGCTGTGTTCTGTAATTTGTGTTAGCCATATAGACGTTCCTTTTGTGCGTTAAACATTTCAGTATTAAACTACTAAAATCCAAATGAAAGATTGCAGAGCAGTTATTTAATGTCCATTCACAATTACTGGCATTTTCTCATTTTCAACAGATGTTGAGGGGTAAACAATTGTGCTCTAATCGCGTTTGACAGTATAACAAACAAACATTTTGTGGACACATCGAAATGGTCTTTAGAAGTGGGTGGCTCTTAAAAGAGCCTTTGTGTTGGTGGTCTACATCAGGTTTACTTGGAGCTGGTGTACTTGGTCACGGCCTTGGTTCCCTCAGACACGGCGTGCTTGGCCAGCTCGCCGGGCAGCAGCAGGCGCACAGCGGTCTGGATCTCCCTGGAGGTGATGGTGGAGCGCTTGTTGTAGTGAGCCAGGCGAGAGGCCTCGCCGGCGATGCGCTCAAAGATGTCGCTCACGAACGAGTTCATGATGCCCATGGCCTTGGAGGAGATGCCGGTGTCGGGGTGGACCTGCTTCATCACCTTGTACACGTAGATGGCGTAGCTCTCTTTCCTGGTCTTCCTCTTCTTCTTGCCGCTCTTGCTGACGGCCTTGGACACGGCTTTCTTGGAGCCCTTCTTGGGCGCTTTCACAACTTCAGGCATGATTGCTCGACTTTCACAAGCAGCTGATAAACCCCTGACATTCGGACAGTGGTTTTATATAGTATCTTTATGCAAATTAGACTGTGCTGTAGCTCAAACTGGATTGGTTGCCATGTGGGTACTGCGCCTGTGTCACAAACCTTGTCGCCAATCCGATTTCTTTACTCTCTGAGTGACTCAATTATTATACATAATAGAAGGTTTCGCAAAACATACTTCAGAAAACTAGTGGTAATCATTCAGAAATGGTCAGATGAGTGATGAGGGATTGACTGAAGGATAAAATAGATCCATACATAACTCTGACCTTCTCTTCAACTTCTCTGACTTATTTTTTTATCACATTAAATTCCCTTATATTAATAATAATAATCTTAATTGTTGGCCATGCTACATACAGATTAAAAACATGATTTGCCTTATAATGTGGGGTTCAATTGCTCTTGTATTGTTTCCTTTTTTGTAATATTCTTATTTTAATCTGATATACAAATTATTGATTTCATAAGTTTCTTATTTAACTGTGCAATGTTTCCTTGCTTCCTTCCACGCTTACATTCCCCTGGGGACAACTAACTTCTCCAACCTTGTTTTGGAAGACCGCTTTATTCTCTTTTAAGACTTCATGAACGCCTTTGATTTTAAAACAACAAAACAAAAACAGGAGTGTATGGTCAAAGACTTCCACCAGTTAAATTTTTCTACAGGAATACATAAGAGATATCATGTCTGATCACCGTCTCTTCTTGGTAAACCTATATGTCGCTTAGTCTAAAATATGATTAGAAACGGTCTATGGAAAAAAAATTAAACCCATACATTGATAGTCGTGGTTATTCAAATTCAATGGCAAAGTCACTCCAGTTATACTGGTATACGGCAGGAGATGTTTCTGTTTTTAGTGCTGTGCCATCTGAATGTTGAGGGTTTATGGAGTCGCTTTTTGTGATCCGAGGTCTGTTTGGCAAGATTGTTTTTTCCGTCACCAAGATGAAGAAATACTGAAAGGTTTTAGGTTTTGTTCAACCGTAGACGTTGTATTCTGTGAATATGTTCTGTTGTGTTATTTCTGTAGATTGCAACCCCAAAGTCTCTCTCACTATTTTTGGCCTAATCACTCATAAAATGTTCATAGCTAATGCAATGCAAAAAAACGTTTTTAACGACAAAGAAATATGCATTGTATTTCCTTGTTACATTAAAAGTAATACTATCTTGAAATTATTAATAATATTTTAAATGCCGTTATTTTTTGTTATTTATGTGTTTGAATATTCTTTCTGTAATCACAGGCCTTTTTTAAATATTCATCACTCGATGCCACTACCGCCGTCTTTGGCGACCACTGCGTTCACATTCAGCTGAAGAAAAGCAGGTAGGAACTAAAGCCGCGGTGCAAAAAGCGCGACGGTGTGTTTTCACCGTGACACAAAACGTCATCGATTTGGAGCATTGACATCATATCAACTAGCCGAGCTCGGTGAGTTGTTGTGAGACACAAATGATCCCGCTTGGTGTGAAATGGCCCCGCTGTGGAGCTCTAGCGTGCTCGGTCGTGCAGCAGGAACCGAATATCGTGTCGGGCCCCGGACGCGACGCGATATTCGGCTCTTGACCACGGTGACAGCCGTCAAACGTTAAAGAAGCTAAAGCTAGCCGGGCTCACCGGGCTCCTCCGGGGTGCACCGCTCGCGCCTCCACACGGAGCCAACAAGCCCGCCTGTCGTACCGCACAACGGTCGCTGTGTCGACGAGCCATAGCGGCGTCGTTAGCCGAGTGCGTCCTTGAATGGATCGACTTTAGCTGCCAGCGTTGTTCCCGTCGCCGTGGCTCGGCGGCGGGTTGAATCGGCAGGGCCGCCGATTGGAGCGGGACGCGTTGTTCCGTTTAACGTTCCCCGGATCGAACTCGACCGGCAGCTCGCGGTGAACCGGTGGCGCCGTCCTCGGTTTTTTTTTCCTTCAGTCGTCGCCGTTGACGAAAAGTTCTTTTCAATTTCGATCGTCTCGGTTACTTGTGATGCTTAAAGATGACCACCAGAGAGAGACAAACCCTTAGCGTTGCATGTTGACTGTTTGGTCCAAAACGGATTTGAATCTCACGTTGCGTTGTGGTTCAGTAAAGTTTAACGTCACGTTGGATCTTTTACAAAGTCGCTCAAAAGAAAATCGCAACATAAACCCTAAATCGGTTTCCATGTCCATCTCAAAACACTGACACATTTATGACAAAGTGGCAGTTGGGGTCAGCAATTTGAGGAAATCAGGCTCTAATGGGGCGATTGTGTTTTTATTTAAAAAAAATGCATACAAAGAAACATTACAGGGGCACCTGTGACATAAAAAGAAATTAATATGGCATTCACGAATAATACACTCCACTTGCAGTGATTAATTCACTCTATGTACAGTGCTGTCATAAATGATTTGCTCCCTTCTGGTTTTTCCCCTTTTTTTTGCATATTTGTCATGCACAAATATTTCAGATCATCAATCTAATTTCTACGTTGGACCAAGATTATCCAATAAAATACCAACTGCATTTTTTTTTTTTTTTACATGATTTCCTTTTTATTAAGAGAAAAAAAAAATGTTTTACTTTACTGGACAACATTGAAAAAAAGACATCCAGCGATAATGCAGATGCCCAGAGAAAAAAGCAACCAGTACACTATAAACGCTCAAAAGAAATAGACGTTGCAACAGCGCAACGGCTTTCTGCAGTCACACACTCAATAAGGTGTGTTCTTGTTTCTCTTGGTCAGTTGTAATGGAAGCAGGAGCTGTAACGGGCGTCGACCTCAGCAGGAAGTTCGTGTCGGAATCGGAGCTTGATGAGAAGAGGAAGAAGAGACAGGAGGAATGGGACAAAGTGAGGAAACCTGACGACCCAGAGGGTAAGACGAGCACACCACACACACACACACACACACACACACACACGTTTTCATAACTTGGAAAGGTGCATGCACATTCTACTTTTTTACTCCTCAGAGGCCCCAGAGGAGGTGTATGACTCACGTTCCCTCTTTGAGCGATTGCAGGAGCAGAAAGACAAGAAACAGGAGGAATACGATGAGCAATTTAAATTCAGTAAGTTTTGTCTTTGTTATTTCTTTTATCGGGACCTTTGTCATCTGCTTTTGAATGAAGACATGTACCGTATATGTCCCACGAAAATCAGACGTACTAATAAGTATAATGAACGAAAAGTAAAATAATCCTTTTTTAAATGCACAATAGTCCAATTCAACATACTTCATATTCATGGATGGGTGCACGACATTCATTACGTAATTATGTTTTCTCACGATTAAAGACTTATATCCACCAATTTCTTACATTAAGGTCCATTCTATCGTAATGGTTAGCAGCATCCGCCTGCAAGAGCAGCGGCGAGGTGTCTTTCTGTCTTTTTACCTAAATAAGATTTTAAAGGATGGATTTTAACTTCTAATGGAGGATTAGAATGTACCTCACTGGTACATTAATGTAACACTGAGGCCATTTTTAAATATACCAGTAAGACTATAAGCATATATAATATTGTATATACTTATACCCCATTGGATGGAATTGTAAATAAAGAGCAAACGGGCAATTTCTGTGTAACATTCAATAATACCATCGTCTTTGCCACCGATCCGGATTTCCCGTGAGAGATGCAGCGAACGGTTTCATCATTCAATTGAAGCATTCGTAGTGGATTTTTTTCATATGGTACATACCAGTTGTCAGTACGTTTACCAATGTTTGACGCTCTCTGTGGGTGGAATCTACAGTAACATCCGTCGTAAGTCCCACCCCCTTTTGTCTTTAACCACAAAGCCCGGTTAGATTTCGTCTTGCTCAAAAGGTTGTTTTTTTGCGTGTGGATTTAAAGAAAGACTCTTTTGAATAATTTTCTGAAAAATGCAATCACTTTACACTCGCGTGTTGAGAGCCTGTTTGTTTCCATGGTGACAGGAAACATGGTTAGGGGATTGGACGAGGAGGAGACCAGCTTCCTGGACGAGGTCTCCCGGCAACAGTGCCTGGTGGAGAAGCAACGCAGAGATGAGGAGAAACAGGAACTGTTGGAATACAGAATATCCTTTTAATGTTTCGGTTTGAAACATAACATTTTAATTAGCAAGTATCGATTTTGTCATTAAATTAACACGTTGTATCCCAATTTAGTGAACATTCAGTGATTTTATTTTTTAGGTCAATACGAGTATTAAGGATTATTTTGACGCATGGTCAAGTCTGGGAGATGACGGTGTTACAACTTTTACCTTTTCAGTTTTTCTTTTTCAGTTCAAGACCTTCTGTTCCAGTTGTACTGAGCTCTACTAAGCTTTACTAACCCTCTAGAGTGAATTCGCAAAAAAGCAAGGCAACAACAGCCAAAGTGTCAAAATTGAGGGTTTAAAAAAAAAGAGTAAACAAACCTCTGTAACTGCATCCACTACTTATTTGCAGGCTTTAGCATGAATATATGAAGTATGTATAACTGAGTACTTTGCAGTCGCTAAAAGGGCTGCAGCGTAATTCTTTGGGCACTTACGCACCATCAATGTACATCCCCCTCAAACGCTCTGCTGAGGCACCTTCTGAGTAGTAAACCATTTACTTTACTTTTTTCTTGGATCCGGTGTGTTGGTTATTGTTTTCTGTTGAGCTTTTCATTTCCTTGTTTGTTGTAAGCTGATATATTTGCAATAAGCTAATATCAACAAATCTGTCCGCCTGGGCAATTCATCGGTCCATCTCTGCTGGCTAGATATGTGGGATGATTGCATTCTTAACAGTAGGATCTGATTAGCCAGTTGATTTGCCAACTGGAGAAAGCAGCTATGAGTGGGCACAATTGCTGAACAAGTCTTGGATGTGGTCAACGGGTTAAAAGTCAGCAACCAGCCTATTTTGTGCGGCCAATCCAATCTGGATCACTTCGCTGCATTACATAACCTCACGTTTTAGCCCCTAAAAGCAATATTGCGCGTATTTACCGAGGCCGCACTACCTAACTGCAAAGGTACTGTGCTTTACGACACTGTGTCTGTACCACATTATCTGAAGTGGCGTCCAGCCGTTAAGCTTGCTGGTTCGTGCTCTTTGTGCTTTTCTTCTGTTCCTCTCTGTCCTTGCGGACAGAAAGGTTTATGACGGACAGGTTTGTCTGCCGATGAAGAGAAAGGGTTGTCGTGGAAACTGCATCATAGGCTGGTAACTACGGTGACCATTTAATGGAGTTGCTGTGAACACAAAATACATGGACATACACACACACACATTAGGCATTAGTTATTGCAGTGCAAATTCATGACGGCTTGTCTATGCACCTCACGCATGTCTAATGCCTGATGTTTCCTGTTCATCTGACCCTTTTGTCTTGTCCCCTTGTGTCCTTAGTCTTTGTCTTTTTTGGTCCATTTTCCTCTGTCCCCGCATCTCGGCCCAATTTCATGTCTCCTGAGCTCCGTCCGTCCCCTGGTTTACCTTTGGGCTTCATATCTGTGCCACCTCCCTCTGCTTCTCTATATAAGTGCTTTTTTTTTCTTTCTTTTTTTAAGCCTCTCAGAACTGTGTCGCTCCGTCCTGCACACCGATGTAGAGATGTAATGGCTCCCCCCTGAAGGGAGGAGATAACAGACCTGTTGAATAGACTACTCTGCTTGCCCCACCCTTTGCTCCACAACGCGCCCTCATTCTTTTATTCACCTTGACGTTGTACTGTCACAGCGCTGTGGTGAAGCAGGTGGCCACCAGAGAGCCTGAAAAGAAGGTGGCATCCAAACCTTCGGCAGCGGAGCAAAAGACCAGCCATCTGTCTCAGGCCCATTTATTGGCCGGAGCTGTCAAGAGACGCAGGTAGTCAGAAGTTAGAAGCTGGTTTTGTTTTGGAATAAATTCAGCACCGACGTGTGTCGTCTATATGAAATTTGTCGGTTGCCTATTTACACATCTACAAGACATTACCATCCATTTGAAGTTGTAAGAATGTTTGATATTCAGCATGTGGAATCTAATTTATAACAATTGTGAGCTCTTAGAAAAACACTGTTTGCATCTCTACGTCTAGCTATTATTGTGTTAAAGAGGAGCAGGACTTGCATAATGCGCCATAGTGAGTCAAATGTAATGTATAATGACAATATTGATGATAATTCTGTGTGTTTTGTGTATGCGATCCTGTTCACGTTGTACTCTGTCATTAGATCCATCCAGACCTAAAACTTCAATATCTCTTTGTTCTGTTTGACCCAGTTCCTCCCAGTCTTCAGACAGCAATAAGAAACAGAAGGTGGAAATCTCAAAAACAGCAGGAAATGGAGACAGACACACAGGTGGGTTGCAGCCTGAAGCTTGAAAGGTAGGAATTTGTGTCAGAAGTGGACAAATATTCACTTTCGCAGTTCATTGACAACTTGTGTAATGGCTCGATGATAGAGCTGCACAGCAGGAGGCTCCGGTAAGTCAAGGCTGACAAGCAGGGGACGACGTTGCAAAAATAAGTCAGATTTGTGGAAGACTGAGAAAATTACCCTAGTTTTCTTTTGGACTGCCCCCCAAATCCCTCTTCCAACATTGGCCAGTTCTAAATGAGTAAAAATCTGTATTTTTGTAGCTCCGCAGGTAACGGTTCAGCTATCTTTACGTTTGACTCTCTTTGCAGTGGAGGTGGTCGGGCTTTTCATGTGTTGACCAGCTAGCTGTTGGTTTGTCTGACGGCAATTTGGTGCAGGTAACATGTAGTATTACGGAGAGGTTCTGAAAGCAGTTTGACTGAAAATCCTGCTGGAAACAAGGCTGAAGAGAACGCTGAGTGGATGAAAATGTTGAGGGCGACGAATCACAAACGTTACATCTCTGACCGTCTTTAAAAGGACTCGCGCGGCGTGCGGGCCGCTGAGTCTGACACTATCTTGTGTTGTTCAGAACAGGAGGATGGAGCAGGCGCTGCAGGAGGAGCTAAAGATCCACAAACCGCCCCCTGCTTGACGGCGAAGACCACCTCGGATCCCCCGAGCGCCGGCCAAGGCGTGTTACACCTGCCGTCGGCAGCCGTGTGCGTGGGCGTCTTACCGGGACTCTGGGTTTATTCCGCCAGCAGCGACTCGGACAGCAGCTCGGACAGCGAAGGTAGCGTGGACGCAATCATGTTGCCGTATCCCCGGAACAGCAGGGCCTACAGATAGACAAACACCAGCATCCGCACACACACACACACACACACACAGTGAAGTACGTCTGTGCAGCTGCAGAATCGCTTGCAAATAGTCTGGAACGGTATCCTTACACAAGATATACACACACACACACACAGATATATTCAAACTGCTACAAACATACCTGCAGGTCGCACAAGTTCTCTGTTATAGTCACACACTAGCCACCTGCACACTAAGCAAAGAGGATTCTATTTCCAGTTGTTTCAACCGGGGATTTGAAAGGTTGTTTTTGTCATCAGGCAAAGTTCAACCAGGAAATCTAATCTTGATAAATAGTAACATTAAGAACTGCTTGTATCTAATTGTTTTTTTCTTGGTATTGTGGCACTCAAACGTTATACCTCCACCCTTCCTTCCCTCGATCACGTCTCACACAGTTTAAGCCGAGCAACCAATCCCGCACTGACTACCCTGACGACATCCTGCCCCCCCCCCTCACCCCACCCTCCCCTCCCTCCCCATCACCAAACCCTCCTCCCCACCCAACGCCGCAGCGGCTGCACGCTGTGCGGTTGGCTGAGGGGAACGTGATTGACATCTGTGGAGCACGGAAGAGGCGGCTTTAGACTGTGTGTCAAATGACTCGACGCCTTTTTTAGAAATCCACGACCAGGAGAGAGCCGACGCAGGACGCGCTTCGCTCTCCGTTTGGGTTAAATGCAAAGTCCGAATGGTTTGAAAAAAATCAACCTTTTAGTTGTGTGATGTAATGTCTTTTGTCACCAGTAGTTTGTTTTAAAGTCGCGTCGTGCTGGAAAGATGCAGGACTTTTTGCTCAGACATTGGAGCTTTATTTTGTTTGTTGAAGTCTGAGCAACGTGGAATAAAGATCTGTCCCTTGTACTGTGTTTGCCCTCTTTATTTGTGTCTATGTGAGACAGAAAAGCAAAGAATGTTAAACTATAGTGAAACCTTTACTGAATTAACAATTACGGATTCAAAATTGAATGCAGTTTTCATGTTTCTATTTGGTTTAGTTCTCACTAGGGGTCACGTCCCTTGGTTTCGGCGTGTGCTTTCTGCATCTCGTCACATTTACGGCATTTGGACACCAGTAACGAGCACCAGGAATGACTTCTTTTCATTTAAATGCACGCGGAACAGCTCGTCCAGGTGTTTGTGGTTTCACAGGTCTGATGTGTGGTTCAGAGCTACATGGATCACAAATTGGAATCAAACGTCAAAAGTGACGTGTGTGATTTGATTCTGGGATGTTTAGTTTTTATTAAACCCGCAGTGATAGAAATTTGCGTCTGAAGCTTACTTTGGTAGTTGATTGAAATAGAAAAATATGGAGGCAATCCAGGTAAGATGATGAGATATTCAAGTCTGCACTGCTCAGGTAAATAATCACTGACAATGTTTGTAATCTTTAGCGGAGAAAATGTGTCAAAGCATCTTGCTAAAGCAATGAGAGTAATGAGCCTGGGAGATAATCTCAATCTGTGTGTATGGAGAGAAACATTTAGTTGGTTTGTCTGAGACGGTTCACTGACATCAGCAAGAGAGCCGTGGGTTGTTTGTGTTCCAAACTAGCGTTTTACATTATATTCTTATATTATTATTAACTTTCAAGCTGTTTTTTTTAGTCCTGTGCTATAATTGACATACCCTTCCAAAAGGTAAAAGATACAAGTAAACTAATAATAGTTACATTATTTATTATTAGTAATACACGAATGCCCAAAAACAACTACGATTATTTAAATATGAAATGATACAAACAGTAAAATTCTTTTGCTTCTCCTTGTGGTCGTTCTGCGTGTCTGTCTGTGTCAGTAAGTTTTTTTTATGAAGCTCGTTTCGGAAGCAAACCTGTTAAAGGGTCTTTACATGAAAAGTCGAGACACGTCTGGCACCTTGTGGATATTATCCAAGTCAGCTGTAGCTCTAGTAAATGGCAAAGAACTGCACGTTAAACATTTAACGGTCCACTGTGTCTCCTCACTCAAGTGTTTCTTGGAAACCATGTATTGTGTCCCTGACTCGGCAGGAACAGCCGACCCATGAACCTACTTTATAAAGAGGTAGTGATGTAAAAGGGTAGAAGGACCACCAGAGGCTCAACAGCCACACAAACAAGGTCACTGTTACTTCGGCCTACGTCTTTGTCACGAGGCTTTTTATACTTTAGTACTCTTGTCCTTCAGTCCGTCCCTAATAAAGGATGCACAGGTTAGTTACCGTACATTATATGCAGTTGGTTATAGTCAGTGGCAGCAAAGCCTCTGCTGGCCTAAACATCACAATATTGGTATTTCAATCAGGAGAGACTCATTTAATAGAATAATACTTTATTACACATCAAATACGAATTGTGCAACGTCTTTGTCGATTGGACTCCATCATGAAGTACTATCACCGAAGGCAGAAGGCAGGGATACTGAGGTCCAATAGGCCAAACTCCAGGGGGATTTGGGGTGATGGTGGTGGTGGTTAAAGGAATAGCAGCAACCTGATGATGAACCAGGAACAACGCCGACGCCGACTGGAGGTGACTGGTGTGGAGGAAGGTCGCATCAGCGACACACTGAAATGACAGCTGACAGCCAACAGAGAGGAGGACACTTTTAAACGTTTGACAGCAACTACGTGATTGGCTCCCGGGAAACCGTGTGTAGACTCTGATTGGTTACTAAAATGTGCCCCGCCCCTCGATCAGCTGATAGAGTAATTACCTGGGAGGCAACCAGAGTCCGACAGATTGTTAACGTCCCATGTTTCAGGGTTCGTGTGTTGCCAGGGTAACGAAGGCCAACGACCCGGTGGGGACTGGATGTCTCGGCTTAAGTAGCGTTGTAGGCGATGATCAGGGCCAGATGTGGATCAGGTGGGAGCGGTGCGCCGGTGATCCTGGAGTTCCCGCCTTGTACTCGTTGCCCAGCAACCGGAACAGGTACCAAACACAAACAGACATAAACAAGCAGGGAAAACCTACTCAAGGAGCTGGGATCGTGACAGCTACATTATAGCTTTTTCTGACGCGCTACTCAACGCCTTGTTTTCATTTTTGTTAACACAGTACCAACATCCTTGTTTGACTCTCTGTACTTTAATTTCTTGAGCTTTTAACTTTAAAAAATATATAAACTTCAAAATTACCGTTTCACTTTTTCTCACATGTTATAATGTGACTTGAAACCATATTTGAAATACTATTATATGCGACAAACCAAAGTAGATAAATTCTTCAGGATTTTGACTTTTAATTTATCACATTAAAGTCTGAATTACAGCGGTGGAATCCATATATAAATGATCCGTCACTAAACATTTACGTGGCATAATACTTTATGATGTTTGTGTCTTTGTTTTCTCAGCCTTTTAGTGTTTGGCATTCTCACACACTGAGACCGCTCCAAAATGGATAATTTTGATAAATGTTAACACAAAACCATAATATGTCCTTGAGCATGCAGCCGTAACCACAAACTCCAAATATTATTATGTAGTTTCCTGCAGCCTATTTCTTTTTTTTTAGATTAGCTATAGACAACACAGACACCCACGATGCCACTAAGGCAGATTAACACAGCAAAGTGAGATATTACAGCAGTAGCAATTATCGATAAACACACACACACACACAAGGAGCATCGAAAGATCCTCCAGGATTACCATAAAAACATAAAGGCCTTTCACACAGAACGATGTACCAAGCACATCCAATTTCATGGGTAGGAAACATTTAACCAGAGGTGTGCGATATACCCAAAAGACAAATAATACACACATAATTGTAAAAAAGAATATTCATTCAGCGCTAACTACAATCTAAATGCTGGTTTATTAAAGTATACGCTGTTACGATTCACATTTAATACAATTATATAGTGTTTTTATTATTTGTTGAGGATGTTGCCAACTCATTTTTAGGGGAAGTTGTTACAGGCCGGTTGATTTGCTGCTAAATGACATTGGGCTGCTATGTTTCATTACACATTCTGAGACCTGTGCCACTGCAGAAGAACATGTTCTATATTTCCACCTGTGAGAGACGCATCTTCCAGCAAATTCCACAAACAGATTTCTTTGCTTCGTGGTCGTTTGTGTCACCCGTGGTCATTTCACATCTCATTAAGGTTGTGTGTGCGTGCATTTGTGGTGTGCCGCTCTTATATCTACTGACGCAGAGAGAACATGAGCATTCCTTCAGTTTATTAACCTGAGTGTGCACATGGACACAACTTTAGAAAATGAACTGCAACACAATTAGTACAAAGATGCACAACAATACATATTAAAGTAGTTTAGATACACAATTCGGCACTGCATAAAAAGTACATTAAAACATGTCAGAAACATTGGCTTGAGAACATGACAGCATCATATAAATATACATTCGATATGCATATATATATATATATATATATATATATATATATATGTATATATATATATATGCATATCAGAAACTCCTCTTATGCCTCCAATCCTTAAAACGTAAACATCCTTCTCTGACACGACTGTCGTTGCTGTGATACACTTCCCTCCCTTCCCTCCAATCTCATTAAATATTTACAAAATCTAATAAATACATCATTTGAAAAAACAAACATGCATCGGTGAACATCAGTTTGTAAACGGTGCGTAGATATCGGCATCATGCGGGATGGACTGAATCATGACAAACAGAAGGAAGCAAAATGGCCCCATTATCTAAAAGCCTGACGAGTTCACAAAGAGTCCCGAGTCCAAGTCAGTGCTACAGCCGCCAGCACGGCCTCGTCCTCCTCCGGTTCTCTCCTCTTGAATCAAACAAGCACAGTGGAGCGTTGAAACTCGCCCTTCACACAATTGGCTTTTTGACACTTGAAGAAATAGTGCTGAGTGTGTGTGTGTGTGTGTGTGTTTCTGCCACACGTGAACACAATAGCAAACAGCCTGAAACGGTGACCGTGAGACAAAGGGAAGGGATTCAACCGCTGACACGTTTCAGCTGAGAAGAGGATCTACACCAATAAGTTGTATGCATCACATGGTATCCATCACAACACACACATGCAAAAAAAGCGACAAAAAGAAAATCGTAAACAACTCGTAAACAAGATATTTGTAATTTCTCTTAGAAAAAGGCCAGTTCATAAACTTCCACATCACTCGGAGACACCTGCCCTCACTATAGACATGAAAGGTCTTTTAAACTTTATTTTTATGATGTCTTGGAAAGCTTTAAGAAACAGAGAACATCCTTCCCAATGGATCCAAACTGCATACTGACCAAACAACCTGTGACAACTTTGCATCACTTTGCCGCTGTGTTGGTTGGCGGTAGATTCCGCTGTTTAAAGTACTGGACGACCTGCTGAGGCAGCTCGGCTAGAACGGATTTAGCGAGGGTCTCCTTGGGTGCCTGCAAGAGAAAAAGGGCAAGACAGCAGATGTCTTTTATGTGCATTTTCATTTATACAAGAGTTAAGTAAAAATTAAGGCGGACAAATTGGTCAGTTTGTTGACTGTGGGGTATTTTGGTTCTGCTTTGAATGGCTTCTTCTGACCGTCTGTTTTTGTTTAGTCTTTACTGCAGTTGTGTAGTTCATGGACACTCATACACGGATTTGCGAATGATTGATTGCGTCTCGTCGTGATCTGGTCTAATGCATTCTACGTCAATAATTACTACCAACTTCACGAAGGGGATAACTCTGTTTCTGTGTTTCACTCTTCCTCCAACCGGTGTTCCTCCCACTACGAAGGAAGTCAGCTCGCCCACCCACGCACACACGATGTATACTAAAATGAACAGAAATGCAAAGTGAGTCCTTTGGTGCACTGACAACAAATGTGCACTTCCAACCTGCGTGCTTAGCTACAGCTTTTGAAATGCGCGTTATGTGCGCTCATGCTGACAGTGTCTCTGCGGCGTGTGAGATAACGAGGCACCTCTGCTCATCCAGCAGACCCTGTGTGGCGTCGTGTGAGCAGTTACAATCCGAGCAGCAACGGGCTGCCGTTGGGTAACACATTCGCACTCGGACAGCAGGACATTGTGTCATCTGGTGAAGCCTCCGGCGCAGAACTAAGATGGAGTCAAAATGACACTACAGCTGTAGGTAAATCCCGGCCACTGGCGACTGAAAGGTGTTCGAACTTCTGCTGAGGGCTGCATGGTTTTTAAACTGACTATCAGAAACCCTTATCTACGTTATAACAGACAATTCCAAGCTGACCAGACTGGAGCAAATAAATATATAATATTTAGGAGCACTTGAATCAGAATCTGGCACGGTTGTTTGCTTAAGTTGCTAGGCAACTGTAAATCAGATCAGATCTAACCACACTCACGCAGTTGTGATGTATCAAAGATCGAACCCCATATCAGATTTGAGAAGAACAGAGATAACACAACACCCCAGTTGTGTGTCTGTATATGTACAGTGTATTATAGTATAGGTGCTTTCTGTTAAACTTGCCCTAATTACACACCCCAGTGCTAAAAGTTTTACATTTAAAGTTATGCACAGCATTTGGAAAGAAAAGACTTGACCAACAATTCAACTTCGTAATTGTTCCCTTAAAGTAAACTTCAACCGTGAATTGAAGCCGTTGTATTTCTTGTGCATGAGTGCATGATGGTTCCATGGAACATGCTGGGGGTTTTTTTTAGAGATCAGTACTCACATTTCGGAAATCTCTGAACGGGACAAACTGCACAATGTCGCGGACAGCCTCTTCTCCCGTGTTGGACCTTAAAACGCTGGCGTCTCCATCTAAGAACTCCATAGCAGCAAAGTCTGCGTTGCCCACACCGATGATGATGATGGACATGGGAAGCTTAGACGCCTGTACGATGGCGTGACGCGTCTCGTCCATATCGCTGATGACACCGTCGGTTATAATGAGGAGAGTGAAGTACTGCTGCAGAAAGAGAGAGAGAGAGAGAGGGAAATGAGGGTGAGAAGACACAAAAGGTTGTGACAAATGACCTGGAGGCGCCTGAATAGACTTGAGGAGAAATCTGCATGAAGAAAATAGACTGGGACAACAAGTGGCAATCATTGTAATTATGCTCTCAATAAGTGACATGCGGTTTTTTGGAGGCGGAGAAGGAGAGCTCGGTCAAAAGGGCGAGACAAAGGAGAAACGAAAAAGAAAAATACAATGGGGGACATTTCAGAGATTGTTAGTGACGGAGAAGAAGTGACAGAAAGTATTCAAGAACAAGAGAGAGCTTGATGAAGCTGAACGAGCAATGAAAAAAAAAAAATATATATATATATGCAGAATGAAAGCTTTTCTGCATCACGGCATGATGGGTTCCATTCATATAACAAAACGCACCATCTGCTCCTGGAAAAAAATGCCAGATGAATAAAAGAAAGGTGAAAAAAGAAAAAAGAAATATCGAATCATTTGCAGTGATGGGAAAGGGAGAGAGAGTATGCTTTGGCATAAGACAGAAATGTCCTGTTGCATGTTGGATCAATAAATCAGTGGCACCTCATGAATGCATAAAGGGGATCGGTCGCCACAACCTGGCAAAGTCTGGAGGTGGACTGTGCACATACTGTATATCAACCCAATGTCTATCAAATACACATAAATAAGATACATAACTGCGTGCATGAGATAGCAGGATTGTTACAATTGAACGTGTCGCTTGTCCAAATCAACAAATTTGACTCGTCAAAACATTCGCCTGCAAGTGGGAAGCAGATCAGATCCAATTCTTGAGCCAATTCCTTGCTTTATAGTACGATTGTTAAAGTAGTAATAATTTACTTTTGTCAATTTTGGGGAAGAAAAACACATATATTAGACATATTTTCTAGTTGTATGGTTTGCTTTTTAGCAAACACGATTCCTATTTTGTGTCCAATCAGCATGGAGCAGCATCGGCATCCGTCACAATGTTTCTGAACAGCTGTCACAACATGAGAGGTGAGGATGTTAACCTCCACATCTCCGCCTCAGAAGTATATATAAAATAAAATGTATAAAAGACAATGTGCAGTCTAGAGAGCACAAAAAATGAATTTTCATACATATAAGCAAACGGTACATTGTTCATACAGTATATTGATCAATATCTTTACAAAATGCACAGGCAATTATAAAGCTGCAGCCCTTCTGTAGAATCATTTTGATCCTTAAAAGATCTTGAAAGTTTTCTGGAGTTGTTATAAATGGAAAAAAGCAATTTAGATACATATTATTATTACATATAATCTTGACTTTAAAGAAAAAGAATCACAAATACATCCAACATTATCTACATATACATATATATATATATATATATATATATATATATATATATATATATATACGCAGATACATTTTGCCACCTCTAATGATATTTTGAGCATAAACACAACAGGGGCATGAAGCAAGTTCAATTCAACGCAATAGTGAAAATTAACAGGGAAAACCAATTTTATACCCGATCCCAGAGGTGTGAAGTGAGTGGGTTAACCAGCTATCTGTCAGTATAGAGATGCACCATGACAAAGTCCCGCCCACACTGGAGGAAAAAACAATGAACAGCTCCTGACTTTGAATTATGCGAAGACTCCTTTTCACTTTTTGTCTGCTGGCGAACAACAGAATAATGCACGGAGGTCGCTATGGTGGCGCAAATCTCCATGAATATAATATGACTTCACTGGCCACGCAGTGTTCAATCAGCCAATCATTGCAAAGGAATTTGATATTGATCAGCTTATAAAAGACTTCACTGTACCAATGTTGCGCTTATTTCTGACCAGTTCCTTCCTGCGGCCACGTAAGGACATCGATAGCAAAGGGTTAAAAAGTTTTGTCGTAAAAAAGGCTGAACTAGTTATGTGGTCCGTCTCACAGGAGGCACACAAACACGTGCGCACACGCGCACAAAGGAGGTGCCTTGGTTACTGCTCACTAGAATGCGAATTGTCATCCTATGATAACAACAACAAACACCAGGACACACGCTGACATTAATCGGAACATAATCACACTTTTGTGTTACACACACACCGACACACAACACACAGGGAGGGCTCTAACGCCTGTCTCTTTAATGTGCTAACGGCTCTTCGGAGAATTATTATAACGCGGATAGAGAGGGTCGCTCGCACACTGGAACGCGCTCTGACTGCACGGACGGTGTTTGTACACAGCGACACATTGTGCCGTCCCAGGTTCCCTCATTATCTGAGGAACAAGACGATCGAGGCTGAGCAACCGCCGATTTGTGCTGCCTTCCTACCTAACCACTTGGCCCAACACACACACACACACACACACCTGTCTAACGACCACCACAGCATGTGGTCCACACACTCTTTCACATCTCCTTCCTATGTTCCACCGCTGTTTGAACTCACTGTAATATGAAACGAGAAAGACGACTGCAATCATCGCCTTACAGAAACAAAGGATTCTGGCACACCAACACACAGACGGGCACAATCCTTTGTGTATTTCGCTCATGTGTTTGTTCTCCATCGAGTGACAGGATACAATTAGGGACAAAAAGCCCCGTGGGAGCATAATGATACCCAGCCACGGCGCTCTCTGTGGACGTGTCACTGGATACGGCACATACGAGAGGGCAAAATGTAGCATGTGCTAAAAGTTTGGATGTCGGAAGCTCGTTGCCGATTTCACACATCTGTGCATTTTTTGGCATGGAAAACTCGGCAAAATGGCTGCTGTTTGAAGGGCCTATCGTCCATTTGAGACTTTATTTCAATGGGGACGCTGCTTATGATTATTACCAACAGCCACGCTGGGGTCTACGTGAACGCGTCAGACCGTTTGAAACATTCTTGGCCACAATATGATAAAACCGTTTGAAAATACTCCAAACACAAATTGTGCACACGGCGGGGCATTTGTAATATTTTTCAGCAAACGGCCACCCGCCTTCTTGCATTGGCTCCCACAGCTTCTTGTCGCTTTTGAATGACGTTGGGGGAGTTTAGGGGGGTTGAATTTCAAGGGAAGACGTCATTTACCCTCTACCCATTTTGGCTCCTGAGCGGCCGAGGACCATGTCGATCAATTCGGCCTGGCTTTAGTCGTATCCCAATGCGATCAGACGATTCAACAAAGTGGTTGAAAGGGGATTGAATGGAGTTAATGTGAAAGAGAAATAGTAAGTATGAGACAGAGGATGCTCTTCCGTTATGCTGTTTAGCCCAATAATGCGGGAGATGCCTGTTCAGTGACTCAGCGGAGGTGTGATGGAGAAGAAGAGAGGACAGAAGTTGTCACTCCAGTCTGTCACCTTGCTGCCTGCCACTCTGGTCAATATAACAGGACTCAGAGCCAACAGATGCACACACTTCTTTCTCCAGTCAGTCATCAGAGTGGATTATTTTAGTTATGAGTGAGAACTGGCCTGCCAGGCACACACTGCTCACTACTTGAAGTGTAGGTGAACAACAACCATAAAGAGCAGTGATGAAAGAAAAAACAGAATCCTCAATGAAAATGCTTGGGTGAAAGTACACAATAGGAACAGCAAAACACTGTTCGAAAGTGGCCACTGGACAGGTTCATGCTACAGCGTATAACCGAGTAAGCTAAATATCAGGAAATGGAAGCGAATACATAAGTGGGCGGACCAGGTAAAGCTGTAGGAGCTGTTCGATTGCATTGAGAAAGGCAGCGAATCCTGTGAACAGATGAAATGAAAGAGCGGAATGAAGTATTAAATAATATGCAAAATGTCAGATCATTGTTTGAGGAGCTGTAGTCTTTGAGCAACAAGAGCAGTAGGTGAATTATAACTATAGGGATATAGAATAGTCTTAAGGTGCTGTAATGATATTTAGAAATAATTTGATGAATCCTGCTATAAGTCAGACAAACTTGTAGATACAAGCCTATCTCGTGTATTGTAGGTACATGCGTTAAATTAATTCATTTATTTGTGTGAATAAAATCAGGTAGCAGCCAAGTAACAAATACACCTTACAGCAGCTCCATTAATCGGCTACTATTTTCACTATTGATTAATTTGTCTTTTCTTGCAGAAAAAAAATGTGATATCAGGCACTTAAATGACCGTTTTGGACTTCTTTAAATAAAAACTGTATTTTTTTCTGATTGGTGGAAAAAAAACGAATGGAAAAAGTGCAACCCATTATACAAAAAAATAGATACCCCCATCAAGAAGCACACAAAGCTGTACAAATGAATGAATCCAATGTTTAGCTAAATGGAAAACGGATATATATTCCCATCCATCTTTGGACTTTTGCAACCACGCTTTCACAGCGAGGCTGACAGATTGCGATAAATGGCTTAAGTTTAAGCATTCAATACGGGTTGTAGCGAGGACTGGAATAAAGCCAGCAGATTTGCAAAATGTTTTACACGCCGCATTTTCCCCTTTTGTCTCGTGATTCTTGTCTGTAGTACACAGATTTGACTGAAGAATAATTAAAACTTGGAAAGTTATGGCCACCTACCGCTGCTTTCTCTTGTTGAAGTGCCTGCGCAGCAAAACGTGCTACATGGCTGATGATCGGCGCAAAGTTGGTCGGGCCGTAGAAACGAATGTGAGGGAGACAGGCGGAGTAGGCCTTGGCGATACCCTCCACACCTGCACAGAGAAACGCACAGATTGAATATGAATGTCCATGAAAATGGATGAGATGTGATGAGGGCAGATGAGAAACATCTCCAAACTCACGTGAGATATTTTCCACCGACTAATGCAAATCATTGTTTCACATCAGCAGTTCTATTTTCCATTCTGATCAGCTTAGCCAGACAACCAGACAATTAGACGCGTGAATGAGTCTATTTTCCTCCTTATTCAGTCAAGTGTGTGTTTTATTGTTCTTGTTTTGAAGGGAACTGGGAAGCAGACATTTCAGCTTCAATATTGGTTCCAGTTATTTTATTTTAATTTGAAACGTGTTCTCTTCATTATGTAGCTGTGATGCTGTCTTACGTATTTTGTGGAGGAGCAGTTTAAAAAGCTTAAAAAGAAAGGACGTTTGTGGAGGCACATGCTTTAATAACAACATGCTGTACATCTACGAAGCATAAACTCCTGCCTCCGTCAGGCTGAAATATGTGTGGCACATCTATTTTCCGGGTCTCACAGTTGTTCGAGTCATTTGCATTCGTCAATTAACACTTTTGCGCATTTCAAATGCTTATGTTGCGTTAACTGAATTAAAAGGGAGTGCTCACTTTGTGGTTTCTTTGAAATAAGGTGTAAGATACTGTTGATTTACAGATCTGTTGAAATGCAGAGAGGATGTAGGAAAAGAAATATTTGTCACAGTATATATTTAAAAGTGACTTTTTACCGCCAAGCCGCTAAGTGAGGCTCCTCATCATAACAAAGGTAACATCTAATTAGCCTACAATCTTTTCCAACATGGCTACATTTGTTAAGCATGCTGGCATCTTCATTTGCTAGATCACGAAACAAAACATACAGATATACAGTCTTTTTTTTTCACTTCATCAGGTGAATGTTATTTAATGGAATGTTGTAAGACTCACTTTATGCAACAATATCATTTAATGTCTTTACTCCCACCCCAATTTTCTATAAAGACAGATCAATGCTGCTGGGGTGATATATGTTGTAGGCCAACCCAGATGTACTTATTCCCTCAAATAAAAAAAGCTAGTGGGATTTGGAGAGTTACAAAAAGTCAGCCATGTGGGAAGTTTCTGTACACTTTGAAAAAAATATAATTGCCAGACATAAAAAGCTAATGTTGGACTAGAAAATTGTATAAGAGTAGGTTCAATGTAGGGACGTCCCCACAAAGCTAAAGGCAGACCAGTGTTCAACGTGTTAATGTGTCCCTGCAGCCCCAGTACTCCCATTTAGTCGTTTGCTAGGGACCACCTTTCTTAAGACAAGTAAAAGCTTCAAAATTCCCAAGAGGGGTATTCTGGGTACTGGAGCATTTCATATCATAGATATGAAAACACCAAAAAATCAAGTTGTGTTAAACAGAGACCTTATTTCGGTCTTTTCACTAAACACGTAAAAAGAAACCCATTAACAGAAGTCAAAATATGCAAATCTTTTTCTGGGTTTTGGGACTCATTCCTGCAGCACTTTAGTGGACCATGTTGTGTTATTGGAATGTGCATCTGGATATAAAGTGAACATGTACTCTGGCAAGCAAGAAGGTCCTGGGTTCGATTCCGCCCAGTGGCCTTTTTGTGTGGAGTCTGCATGTTCTCCCCGTGTCTGCGTGGGTTCTCTCCGGGTTCTCCGGCTTCCTCCCACAGTCCAAAGACATGCTCTGGGGATCAGGTTAATTGGGGACTTTAAATTGCCCGTAGATGTGTGAATGTGAGTGTGAATGGTTGTTTGTCTCTGTGTTGGCCCTGCGATTGGCTGGCGACCAATCCAGGATGTACCCTGTCTATCGCCCGAAGTTGGCTGGGATAGACTCCAGCCCCCCCGCGACCCTGTGTGCAGGATAAGCGGTTTGACAATGGATGGATGGATGGATGTACTCTGGATACAGTGCATTCATATTTTCACCTATAGCTGCAAGGTCCTGTGCACTAACTCACCTGAGCAGAAGGGGTTGGTGGGGTCAAAGTTGATGGCAAATTCGTGTGACACCTGAAAAGACAAGAAACCCATTAAACAAATGGCATATTCTTCTTTCACTACACTGTAGAATATTGTTCGCGGAGATACTCTCCACCGCTCCAAAACTCTCGTTCTCTCTCTCTCTGTGTAATGTTCTCTTTCCTTTGTCCTTTTCATCAGCTCATTGCCATGGCAACACAGATGGGTTGACAGTTGCGTAATCATGTGAATATGCATGTGTAATGCTTGCAGTTTTACCCGTGTGTGTGTGTGTGTGTTTAAGTTCACACACAACAAACCATCCATCTCTCTCTGTGTCACACACATACATAAAGTACTGTACACATGTATATGTATCACTATACTATACATATTTGTGTCTAGCACACATGCATAGACACACACAACATTAACAACACTAACAACAACACAAACAAACATATACACACATACCTTCCAGTCTGGAGGGAGTTGAGCTCCGAATCCCAGGGCAGGAAACATTTTGTCGCTGAGGTAGAAACCATGACAACAGATGAAAACGTTAGTTAAACCATTTTCCCTTTTTTCTCATCCAAATTCAACCAGCTGGATTTAGATGGCAGAGGAAATCCGGTGACCTTTTGAACAAAGAAGCGAGCAAAAAAAAAATAGCTAAGAGCTGTGAGTAAGAGCTGTCAGCGATGATGTCAGATTGCTTCTCACTAAGAGAAGCGCCCTCTTTCTCAAGGGAAGGATACAGAAAAAAGGATGTTATCTTGTTTTACTCTCTGTTAGGACGAGAACATATTTACATTACCTCACAAGACGCCATAAAAATCTAATGTGGTCGTCAGTATGTTCTCAGAGACACAAACTTGGACTTCATTTTGAACAAAAATTAAAAATAGATGGCTGCTTGTCAGTAGACGATTTCCTAATTTGTCAATCCAGCGACAAAAATTCCACTGACAAATTGAACATTTTTCCTGGATTCACAACTGTGGAGGTAGCGACCTAAGGGGTGCCAAGTAGTTAGGAATCCTCTTCTTGGCGCGACCCACCCTGTGCAACGTCCAGGGGCTTGGACAGGTGTCCTACTCCGCCACGGAGCTACAGACCTGATTGGTTGCGGTCTATGTCCTCACCAATAGGCTTTCACAACTGTTGTTGTCTAATCTCAACCAATCGTCTCTTCCTCAAACAGCTACACAGGGCGGGTTGCGATGAAGAAGAGTGGGATTTATTATTACACGGCGCGGTCACATGGGAATTCATCGTCCATTTTATTCTAAATGAGAAATTTTACCCAAATGAAAATCATTGAAACTAGCGATTGAGAACCGTAACCTCATGATTAACTGAGGTAATTGTTGGAAAAATGCCATAATGTTCCACTTTAGTACGACGGAGACGTCTGTGCTCTTTCAGAGGCACATGGTGTTCCGGGTCATCGGATAATCAAGATGTTTTGTGCTTCGATGTTTAATCTTGTGGTGCCAAAGATGATCGTCCGAGGTCGACTGCCATCATTTCAGCATCTTCCAACTATGTAGACTTGGCGCATGACTTGCATGTGTGTCAAACATTAAATATCCTGTTTTGATGATTTTACACGGGTGTCGAGTGAGACTTTTTCTAACAGTAATGAATCAAGTAAAAAGTAGGGTAATTTTATCTCGTACCCTTTTATAATCAGACTTCCGTTTGCATCTGTGGGGTCACTTCTTGCTGTGCATTTGAAAGAATGCAAGTTTAAAATGCTTCTGCATTGGGCTAACTTTAAAGCCCGGGACGCCATCGACTACAGATCCATGCATTTACTCTCCTACAATCCAATTGTACTCAAACCAGTTTGAACTGAATGTAAAGAGATGTTTGAGTAATGGCGTCTTGGGCAGAAAATAAAGTTGTGTGTTGCAATCTGAGCTTCATTCTGCTTTGTAATATATCCGTATATATCAGTGTCCATATTTTAGTTTTTACTATAATAACAGATTATTACTACTGGAGCTTACTTTTTTTAGATAACTGACTTAATAGAAGAAGATACTCACGTATCATAGTCCTGTATAATTTGTCCCACAGCTAAAATGGCAGCGAGATACTCGTTGCTGCCCAGTGGGTTGATGTAGTGGAGGGAGGACGGCTCTCGAGGGTTCCCATTAGATGCAGTGAAGTCTATACCGACCTGTGGAAATACAGAGAAGAGGCACATTCAAAATCATGTTAGAAACCTGTTGTGGTGTCATACTTTAATTAGCTCAAGATACTGGTGTGGGTCATAATCGGTTTTGTTTTTTCCTCCTCCTCCACAAATAACAAAGCAAAATCACCTCAATAATGGAGCGTCAATGAGAAAACAAACAGCTGCAAACACACAGGACTGAATGTACGATTTCTCTTTTGACATCAGATAGAAACGTCTCAGGAGAAGCCAAGCTTTATTGTTTTCCTTCTTTGCGGTCAACTCACATGGGAATGTTGAGGACAAAAGGATTGATCTGGTTACAAGATAAGCTGTTTGATTTCTAACATTTGATTTGGTTTGACTACTTTCCATTGTGATGGAAAATGACTGAGACCAAGAATGAAGTTATATTAGTCAGAGGAAAAGTACCAGAAGGTGAATCATTAGAAGCTAGAGGATTGACCCTCAATTCATGAAGGGCCATCATAATAAAGTATATCGACCATAACTTCTACAGGACTGGTGTCAATTATTGATCCGCTTGCCAGTTGATCATCTGTAGAGAACTGAATTTCAAAGGCTTCTGTGAAGTTTTATGACCCTCTACCCTTGCGTTGGCTTTTTCATTGTATAATGATGTGCTCACTGCACAAACCGCCTCTAATTGCAAGAATAAACGCATAAACATCGTTTGGGGTTTTCACATTCTTTATTTCTACCATCTCCCCAGGACTCAAAGGCAAACTTTGACCCTGATTCGTCATTTTCACCACAACATTCGCTAATGTTGGATGAGGAATGTAATGGTTGCTCTCAATGTGACGGAGTCGGATACTCAATCTTCAGATTTATTCCTTGCAGGACGGAGATACGTAATTCTGTTGTCTATGTTCGTCATTCTTTGTAAACTTGACATTTTAGATATTTTTCCAGTGAGATATTATTGACTTTATATAAAGTGACATTTTTGACTGAAATGATTGAGCTAGGTCATATTTAAGATGTTATATTCTACGTTGGTTGTGAGTTTACAGAAAACACGGAAATGCAAAGCTAATGTACAATCAACACTTTCTATTTGTATCTATTGCTAACACATATTGCCATTTGCGGATTTTCTTCATGCTGATATGTTTTAATAAGTCTGAGGTGAAACATCTCATTATCTTAGAGTGAGAGAAGTGTTTATTTTGATAAAAAGTCAGCAGGGACGCACCTTGTCTGAGTGCCATTTGCTATGATTTACTAGATATTGCAATTTGCTTTACAACCCTACAAGTGCACATGCTGCTGCTGTTGCTTTTACAGTTTAGACTTTCAACCAAGTGAATTCATTTTACGTATTACACATTCTAATATTACTCTTAAAGATCACCAATACGCACGGCTGTAAATATTGAAAATATTGTAGCGCAGCTGTGTCTAACAATGATAAGATGTCCCTTGAACCACACCGATGACCACATACTGTACATCCAAAGAGAAACGCATGATCCCAAAATACACAGGCAGAAACACACACACACACACACGCCCCCATGGAGTCACACAGCCAAACATTACACGCGATTGAGAGTGACAAGAATATCCTCAGGCAGTGAATAGCGGCCTGCGTGCTGACAAGAACCCAACCCAGAAACTCTGCCTCCTTCCATTCGGCTTAAGGATGATCTAAAGCATCTCCTTCTTTCTTGTTTAGTTTGGAGATATAACACGGCAATGTTCTGGTTCTACGGGGACAACACCCGAGGAAAGAAAGAAGCGGGAACAGAGCAAAGGTATTAGATCATTGCGGGAAAGGAAATTGGGCAAATGAAGTAAAGAATGGAAGGAGAGAGAGAGAGAGAGGAAACATACAGAACAACAGGAGCAGCCGGAGGGACGGACACAGAGATGCAGTGCGACAGAAATAGGGTGTTGTTAGATACTTAGTACAGCATGTGTGTTAAATAAAACACATGTGGCATTCTACACAAACTCTAGGGCAAGAAAATCCCTCTCGCCATTCCTGAGAGAACGCCTTCACAAGAAGGGACCGGATGCAGTGTCAGTCCAGCCTAAATTAACGTTTAAAGACACTAGAGTCCTGTAGATTTCCTTTTACTTGTTGTGGATCATTCTCATGTATTCATGGTTGACAGAACAGTTATTCTACAACCCGCTGACAAGGTTCCAAAGCTGAAATCATTTAATGGGGGGGAGGGATGTCGAATCGGCACTTAAAGGCTCTGTTTAGGACCTCTCCTTTCTAAAACACTGCTCAAAGCAACGTATATTAAAAAGGATCTATACAGGGATATTGCAGAGGTTACTGTACAGAACAAACCAATAATTGCATTTCTGTTTTTAAATATGCAAGAATCAGCAATGAAAACAACATTAGTTGATAATGTCGATTGTGGCTCTAAATACTCCTGTAATTATCTCCTTTTTTTGTTTTTTTATCTTCAAATAAATTGTTGTCTCTAGCGCTTCAATCCATAACACTGAACTGCATGCGTGAATGTGTGCTGACGATGACATGATTGTATGTTTCATTCAATCTGGTGATTTGTTTGAGCAACTTCAATTTCGTCCATTAATTTGTTCATATTATGAAAATAAAATCATGTCTGCCAGATTTGACCGATGACGGCGGACAAACTTCTACGTCATTGTTAATCCAATGACCTTTGCGGGGAGAGATATTGTGATTTTGATGGGTGTGAATTTGACAGTGGGAGTGGCACCGTCCTGTTTCCAACGTGTTCATTGCCCCAAGCTATTAGTAATTGCTAACACAGAAATAGACACAACACAACCTGACAAACACGCAGTTTCAACGAGCGAATGCTCAGAATTAAAATGAAGACGGGGCGACGGAGCAGAATCTTATTTCTGTGCATTTCATATCATCGATGTGACAGAAAACGTCTCTGGCTGAAACACATTGGAAGGATTCCACTACTTCCGCATTACTGTCACATAATTGACGCGACGACAATCACATTGAAGTCTTGTCAGCTGTGGCTTGTCAAGTATCGGCCAATTCTCACTGCAGGACTTCTCAGGCTCATTTGCACTCAGCAGCCACGGAGCTGGATGGAGGAGAGTGTGTCGGAGTGTGAACGTTTGCTGGAGTAACTGTGTCTCACTCTAAGGTGTTTCCAGTGACGACCATGAGCTGCTGTCTTCTGCCAGACGTCTATTTATGGTTATTGACATTTGTTCTTGTGTATTATTGGGTCATGCGTTTTAAACGGAACAATAAAAATCCTATTATAGTTATAGTTCTATGCAGTGATATGAGGTATAACATTGATCCTTTTGTAATGTTTTACTGTCCCACATTGTTGGATCATATCTCAAAAAGGGACTTCGACTTTAGATAAGATAAATGTATTTGATAAAGTATAAAGTATATTAAAGTATATTTCATATGATAAATGAATCATAAATAATTATTATTATTTGCAGTAAATAGTTTCCCAGATTTTTCAATCCGGTTGTGTTTTACTTTGCCACTGAAGCAAACTTTCCAAATCACAAAACAATAAAAGAATAGTTACAGAAATCTTGTGTTGTGAGTGAAGGGAAAACGTTTAAAACTGCTAAAACGGCTAATTATTGACCTTCATGTATTTTCAAAACCAACTATGATGATTGTTATTTAATGTTCATTTCCACAGCACGACTTCAGTCAGTAACACAACGTAGGACCACGACGTAAATACTCCACTTCTCACCCGCTATTCCAACGGTGTTGATTCTGCTCTGCGGTTTTTAATTAAAAGTCAACACTTCCTGCACGGATTACATAGTCACCCACTCATGAAGCAAAATCAAAAGGCATCGAAAGGCATAAACCTTTCAAAGCTTTTAATGTAAAACATAAAAAAATGAGAAATTACTTATTTGGCAGTAGTTTAGCGGTGATCAAAAAAACAACAAGTGACTGCAATCAATTAATGTGAGACAACCGAGGATCAAGAGACAGATGAAAAAAAGGACCATTTGTTTGAGGCACTCCGCTCAACGTGGCCCTGGATGACATCAAAAATAAGATATGAATAATATCGCAAATTCCGTTGAGACGAGTCTTCCACAAACAGCCCATCAGCAGCAGCAGGCTGTGTCTTTGTGCCGGAGTGTGTTACGGAGAAACGCTGCTCTCCCTCCTGCCCCAAGGAAAGACTTTCCCTTCCCGGAGATTAGGATTAGAGCCACGCTAAGTCTGATTGAACAGAGCAAAATGGCTCTTTCCGCATGCGCGTGTGTGTGTGTTTGTGCAAGGCGGCTCCTCGCTGGATGTGCGTGTATATAAAACTTGCGCGTGCACACATGTGGCAGTGCGTACGAGAGGGGAAGACGTCAGCGGTGAGCATCTGCGTCAGATTACGTGTGCATTGTGCGCGTCTAAATCTGTCGGCACGTGTAAGCAGGGAAGGCGCGCGTTTGAAGATATTGTGTATTGGTGCGCGCACCCGGAGTAGAAACCGTGCACACGGTGCAGAGGCACGTGTGACAAAACGTCTGCGTGATGAAGATACCGCGTGTGGATTTGTGTGCCAAAATCGTGGTTTGGTAGTTTGCATGTAAAGCTGGTGAAGCGTGTTTTAGTGAAAGCAGCTGTGTGACGAGGATGTTATATGTCTGTGCTTACATGTGTGTGTGTAAATTAGTTTGTAAGCATAATGTAAGAGGAATCTGTGTTAAGACTGAATTAGGTGTGTGTGTGTGTGTGTGTGTGTGTGTGTGTGTGTGTGTGTGTGTGTGTGTGTGTGTGTGTGTCCATCAGTGAAAGAGCTGCAGGTCTGTGACAAAAGGCAAAGATTTTGAGGGAGCAGTGAGGATTTAAGAACGTCCCGTTCTGCCTTAAATATGCTATTGAAAGTCTGAACATGAACATAAATTAATAGAATTAAAAAAAAGCCTCTGAAGCGAGAGTTCTTTGGTCTCAATAGAACAGGCAAATATTCCCATTGCACTGGAATTGTGATCCTAAATACAATCAAAGTCCTGGGACAAACAATCTGCCAAAAACTCCCAACACCCGTTCTACAAATTCTACAATATTTACCACCTAATGTCCTTACATTTCAAGGGCCATCACTGTTGGACAAAGTCGATACTCCACACTGGTTTTAAACTGGTCATCACCAGCTGACCACATGGACCAAAGGAATTACTACCGAATTTAAGTGGGATCAGTTGGCATTTAGCTGTGATTAACCAATCATTGGATTGGGGATTAATTAGAGCAGATAAATGCGAAATTTAATCCATGTCATTTTCGCACCAACCTCTTTAAATGCCGTCTCTTGCTCACAGTGCACCGACATGCACACTGCTCCGTTGAGAGACATCCACAGCATGGCTCTAGGGTTGCAATAAATGGGCGATTCCTGTTTAACTGTTCAATTGTCCTTTTTGTTTTTGTATGTCTCATTAATTTAAATAACAAAAATTACTTACTCAAATAAGTTAAAATAAGAAATCACTAATTGATCCCGATGCCAACAATGTCATCAACAGCAAAAAGTGTGTGCAAAACCTTTTGCTTTAAAGCCACATTTCTAAAGTTTTAATAAGGTGGAAATCGCAGGCTGTCATCGACGCTTGTCTAGATCTGTGTGTGTGTGTGTGTGTGTTTGCAGTCAACCTCCACGCAACGACTCTGTTGTACGATCTGGTGCATGGTTCTAGCTTGCAAAGCTGGGCAACTGTTGCAGAGATAGAGAAAAGACAGAAAAAGATGGACGCTGTGCACATATGTAGCATGTAGCTGGGAGTCTGTGTGCTACGGGAACAGTGAGACGGGTGATTGTATTTTGTAGAAAACCCATTGACACAACTTGCCGCATGTGTGAATGTCTGTGATTGGCTGGTACAAATCAGGACTCACCTAGTGACACACACAGTCTCTCCTATCAGCAGACCAAAATATAGTATAGTGGTGAAATATCTTTCTTTTTCTGTCTCCATACGTTAATCTTAATTTATTTGACATTTCAAAAAGCACATTTTGCACATTCATAGCTTTTTTTCTCCTTTTGATCTTTCACAACACCCCATTACCCTTCTCCTCTCTACACCACTCATTCATTTTGTCCCTCACATTTTTCCTTTCAGTATGGAAATTAACATCATCCAACTGTAACCCCAGGAGATGAAAATAGAAAATTTGCTTTTTCAAAAGCGAGGCATGCAGAAACATGTATCGCATTACCACGTCATCGCAGATGTAATAAAAACCGGCAGGCTAATATAATACTTACCGTGAACATCAGCTGGCATCCTCCAAGTATGTAGTCCAGAAAAGTGTAGTCCCTTGTAATCTAGAAACACCAGTCGGAAGAGTAAGAAAACACTTATTTTAAGAAGTATGAATGTTCAACATCAGCTGAAATGTCATGTGGATCTCACCAGCTTTAAACACTATTAATTGTGCTCCAAATATATGTTGTTATCCATTTGCATGAAGGGATAGTTTACTTTTTTGAAGTGGGTTTGTATGAGTATTTATACACAGCAGATTCATTGGCATTATTTGAGCAACGGTCAGTGATTCCATTTTAAAGCAAAAATTAAGGAAAAGGGCAAAGATGTGATAAAAGGCGCATAGCTAATACAACGCTTCCAGTGTGAAGAAGAAGACTTGAGTACGGCTCCAGGACCTAACGTACCATAATTGAGTTCAGCTTCAAGTAAAGTCAAACGGCTGTTTTTGTCAATGGAGTCTGGAAGCTTAGAAAAGAACGTCAATGGGTTCAGTTTTCAATCCGAAACATCTGCACGACAGCAAAGTAAAGCAGAGAAAATGTTTTACGATTTATTTCAAACTGGATAATTTTGGTTTCTTTGTAGGTCGCTGACATATAGGTTTTACCGTTGACCTCACCCAGAAGAGCACATTTGTTTGCCTTTGTGCCGGTACATTAAGCTTTCTTTTCATGACCAGCATTATTTTTTGAAATGACAAAACAACTCTTATATTTTTCTGAGTCAAGGTAATCTCAAAGGAGCACTAATTATCGTCTTGTTCCAACGCAATTTCCACTCCACTTACAATCAATATTTAGCAAGGATTTACTGTCATTAGTCTAATCCCTGCCAACAGCAAACAAATATAATTACTGTATTAGCCGAGCATGTGCTGGTTGTGTACGCGTAAACTGCTGTATGTGTCTATGAACATGGCAGTACGGAGGCTTGTTCATTGTTGTGAGCATGAAAAGAGGAAGGAAAATAATCAATTACGAAAGCTTGTCATTGTATGCGCACGGCTCGAATGTCATCGCAATGGGAAGCTAAAGGAAAGTGTTGAAGCTTAATGTGTCCTCGGCGGGGCTCAAAGTTACCACACAAAATAGAAATTCTGAGAGACTTACAGACACCCAATAGGAAGTGTAAGTTGATCAAAAGCTCAATCAAATGTTCTATTGAGTCCATATAGCAGGATGTGTCATTATGAGGTGGCGATTCTTTTCTCCCTTCAGCTCAGAATTTGAATGGATTTGATAAATCCTACTCATGATAAAAAGATGATAAGAGTTTTTAGGTATCTTAAACCAGCCTTTATTACTTTTGAAATTAAAAATAAATTTAGAGCTCATACAAGTCTAAGAAAATTAATTGGCAACTAAAATTGAAGGCATGAAACTGGGACAACGCCGTGTCAATTTTTGGAGCGATTTTTTTACATGGGAAATGTGCGTCGCACACCTGATTCCACAGGTGTGGGTTCCAGGCTAAGTATAGCAGCGAGAACACAAACATCAGTCTCATGCTGTACACTGCCCCAATGCCAGCAGCCATCATTCAGATGCAGAAGATTAGGATCGCGGAGCCAAAATGAATGCTGCTGAAAAAGGACAAGATCATCCGTCCATCCAGGCATCCTTACTTTACACATCTTGACAATGATGAAGCCAGAGTTCTTATAATTCTTCTTCTTTTTCTGTTTCTTGGGGTTGATGCAGTCAAACTCTACCTAAAAAGACAAACATGTTATTACAGAGAATAAAGGTGATCAGTATCAGAAAAGACAACATTAGAAAGAAGAGAAATGAACGGACTGCTGAGAAGCTGTGATTTGAATCTGCATGTATTCCACACACCCCCTGCAATAATTATAAATTGAAAATGTAAGCAAACTATTCTATAGTGGTTTAGTTAGTATTCAGTCCATATGCAAACCCACTTTTCAATCAAAAAGACTGTTCGTCAGTACCAGAGAGAAAAAGTCCCACAAACACACATTAGATGGCAATTTGATGAAAAGATCATTTAAGACATGCATGCACACACACACACACACACTCACACACTCACACTACACATGCCTCGAGTCAACTAGTGATTCATATGACAGGTAGCTCTAAATGCCCTGTCGCGTTCCTGGGGCTCAGCTAAAGGCTGCTTTACATCTCAAAAGCACTTCTCATTTTCTCATCCTTCTTTTCTCTCTCTCTCTCAACCCCCCATCTCGTTATTTTCCATGTGTGTGTCTGTGCGTGGTTGAGTCCCTACATCGTTACCACACATGAAGAGACCCAGTGGGAGAAGAAGTCATGAGGCTTCCTTGGCACATGCACACACTCAGTTTCACAAATAAACACACACACACACACACACACACAAATATTTCCTGTGTATCGATTCAGTCAATTTAGTGCAGCTAGCGAAAATAAGATTATTATCTATTGGTGCATGATTCTCCAATACCATTCTCAATATCATTGCATAGCACTGAAAAAATGTTACAGCTAACAAGCAGGTAATCAACGATTTCTTGCAATTAAATAGAATTACATACGGTCACGGTTTGTTTCCTGTCTTTCAAGCCAATTCCCTCGTTCCTGCACCCTTCTATTGTCATTTTCCACCCGCCAAATACATAGAACCTTCCTTCCTCCTCACCTGACTACCCCACCTATCCGCTCTGCCCGACCTTCCTCAACCACCTCACGTGTGTTTGATTCCTTCATCTGTGTATCGGTCTAATCCCTGTCGCCTGTGGCAGGTGTTATTTTGAACAAAGAAACACACAATCAAAATAATGTCAAACATATTTTACCTCCACTGAGTTCTGGGCTTCACTCATCTTGGCCACCGTGGTTTGAAACTCCCCTATGAAGTCATGGCCTCCATCGTTGTCGTAGTCGTAACAGAGGACCTGTTGTTGTGTAGAATACAGCATATGATGTCATCTCCTTCCCCATGTTATAACCAACTGGGTTAGCTTGTTTTGCTTACTTTTTGACAGTCAGGAGGGTTATTTCCTTCGTATTTTTACCTCTTTACTCTTCCCCATGTAGCTCATCAACTCTCTATCCCAAATGTTAAGTTGTATCAACATCAATATTGATAGATTGTTTTATGGATTTGGACCTAATTATTTACTATTTAGCAACGTATAATGACCAATGTGATCACACTGTTATGTATTGGTTACCAGTGTATTAACATTCTAGATATTTGTTCTATGGTACATTTCCACCGCTAAGAGATGATGAATTAGAAATTCACACCAGTTTGCAACAGATGAAATTCTAACCTTGATGTTTCTGTCCACCTCTCCGTTGCAGAGAGAAATTAGCGGCACGGTGAAAGATTTCCACGCAGGATCCAAAGTGTTCTTTATGACCTGATATCGCAGATAAAAAAGAAGGCAGCTAATCATTGAAATTCACAGCAGCAGATCTATAATGCAGTTGTAAACACAGCGGAACACGTGTTTCTTTCACCCTTCATTACAGTTACAGAGTATGCCCTTGACAATGACCACTCATGGTTGAGTCACCTCAGTCCTGTGCACCAGCATCCATTTGCTGTCTTCTCCCTGTTTGTGAAACTCCAGGTAGGGGTCTGACTTCCCAAAGAAATCCTGCACAAAACAGAGAGATTTAGTCACTTAAAGTTCGGTTTTATCCTAAATAATTCATATACATATCCAGAATATAGCTTGTAGCAGCAACACCATTTTTCTTTGTTTTATTTTATTAATGTATTTACTAAAACAGGTGTTCTGCAGTTCTGCATTGACTCTGCACAGCTGGCACACATCAGCATTAGTTCCAAATCCAAGTTCAAACTGTGCTGTTTCTGACCCGCTGTCATTTTTACCTTTACTGTAAACCATAAACCTACCCAATAGATTCAAAATTGAGAAAAAACTAAAGATAAAATAAAAATCCTGCATGGTTTTCCTTTCCAACTACGTGTGCACCGATGAGTTGGCAAATGTGAAGGATATAAAAAAACATGAACTGTTTATTTGTGAGTTTACTGGGCTTTGCTTTGTGCATTCTAAAGCAATATGTGTCTCTCTCATGCACAGTGTGCGCGCGTGCTTCCGTGCACGCTTCAGTGTTCAAGTTAGTGGGTCCAACTGCCTACCTTTTTATCCAGTTTACGCCCACTCAGGGTCAAAGTGATGATTCTGTTGTCAGACAGCTCCTGAGCTGTTATCTAAAATAAAATTACAGGACAACATTAGCTGCAGCAAAAATACTATTAGCTGTAACACTCACTATCAACACTCACATGGACGACAACAATCACAACATCAACAGCAAATTCATCAACACTTCCATCATCATTGACAATTGCAAAGGGCCCATTATAGCAAACAGCAGCGATTACGTCGACATGACCAACACCCATTGATAATATGATTCAATATTAATATTCTCACCGTAATGGATCCTTTCCCAGCTGGTTTCCCATTGGCTAATACCAACGGTCTGTGGAGTTTCTTATTAGACACAATCTGATTGACAATTAGAGAAGGACAGACAGGACGGGAATGAGGGTCGGGGACTATAGGCCACATGAGGTCAATGCATTTCATAGAAACTTGTACTCTGCCATCCTACTTAAAACAAAACTAACTTTGAACTGAGAAATGAGAAATCCTTCCATACCACCCCTAGCGTGCAAACGAACTCTCCCAGGAAGTCATGTTCGTAGAGCTGTGTGGCACACTTGTCTTCATCGAACATGGCAAAGCGAAGCTTCTGGATTTGCTCGAAATGGTAGTCCACGTGAAACTTTACCCCAAACACTGGGTTCAAGTTGTTCACTGCTGTTTCAGTGCGACTGAGCTAAAAGACAAGAAGGAAGGACAAATAGGTTTGAAACAAACAAAATAAACACAAGTGGATTCTAGCGGCCGTGTTCACTGAAAAGGAGCCTATGATGGGTGTGTTTTATCAATTTTAATTGAATCTGGCATTTTTATATCAAATAGTTTGTTCAGATGCACAATGGTGAACTGTGTGTGGCATCTCATATTAAGATATTATGTTTAAATGTAAAACACAGTAACTTGGTTTCTCTCTGACTCCTTTTTCTCCTCCATCTCTCATACATTGTGATAAATGGACTTACATAAGTCTCTGGCTGCTATTTGTATCTAACACGGCTGGATTCAACTTTCTCACTTTATCATGAGGAATGAAATACAAGCGGAAAAAGGGATGAAATAGATTAGGCGATAAATGAATGTTGTTGTTGTTGTTGTTGTTACAATGTTGTTTTTAATCAATGTTTTGGGTTTTTTAAACACAAAACTACAGACATTTGATCATCTTGGAGGCAGAACTTGGTGGAACATGTTGAACAGGCAACTCTTCCAGCTAGCTTAGCCTAGCAGCTAGCTTAGCATAGCGGTGCTTTAAGTGGTTTGCCACTCACCCCCCTCCTGTTTGACACATAGAGGGTGCTGCCCACTTCTCCGCTCTATGTCGTGCCTCTGTTTGTTTTACAGCCAACGCAAAAAGCCCTCTCCATCTTTAACTACCATCTTGCTTTCTCCGATGTAACTTACTTTACTCCCGGTTTACTTTCGGAAGTAAACAGACGTATGTTAACTACATTCAAAACATTTTGTCGCATTAATCTTGGCCACATTAATCGCATAGATTAACGCATTTATGTTGACAGTTCTAGAATATATAACTGTCCTTAAATACTTCACTATGCAATGTAACGCAGAAGGTGGCCAGTGCTGCTTCCAGTGATACTGCATGCATAACTATATAAAAAGTGTCAACAGCTCAAAGTAAAATGCAGTATCCTAAGGATATTACAAAGCTACCAACTCTCATGGTATCTCACTCTCAGCTGGTCTTGAAAGCTTGTTTCGTTTTCATTTCAAATAAGAAACGGTATATATATAATGCAGCACCAGAGTAAATACAATATATACTGTACATATCAGACATAAAATAATTTGGGAAAATATCTCAAGGGATCGGATCAGAGTTGTTATACAGTCGAACATCTTTCTAAAGAAGATGAAGAGGAGCAGCTGCAGTTTGTGTTAATGCTGAACTTTACTGGATTACACTGACAGGTGTACATCTAATTTGTAATCATATTGGATGGAACAAATAAGGGGGTGAACATTTAATTCAGGCCTGTTGTATTACATCACACTGAATTAGCTTTTTAATGGTTTCATAAAGTAAGAGGAGGTTGGATATAGCAACAATAATTAATCAGATAATATTTTACTGGATAGTAACACATTCCACACACACACACACACACACACACACACACACACACACACACACACACACACACACACACCGTTTGTCTTGTTATTACTCAAACATACTTGTACAGTTAAATTTATAGACTTCACTATAAATTAAATTGAAAATGTACCTGAACCTCATTGGTGTTTTTACATTAATATTGATTATCCTCATGGTATTTTATGTATATAATATAGTGATCAATGAGGCTATATACTGTAAGATAGGTGATCATTAACGTCATAGTATTTAATATCTATGATACAGTGATCAATCAACCTTGCCCACCGATCTTAGCCGAAAATGGCTAACCAGTTTCTGATCTGCATCTGATACCTCAGATACCTTTAGTTAATTTTGTCATGTGTTGATCCATTTTATTGGTTAAAAAACAGACACTGTTTAAGCACTTTATTTGTTGAACTTTCTTGTTTGATGGAACGTGTGGTGGGAGGCTTTTAATAATGAAAAATATTTCTCCCCAACTTATCTTTTTTGCATAAATCATTAAGTGCTCTTAAGAACAATTATTAAGAATATAGTTTAGGTTTCAGTTAAGAATTAGTTGAATACCGTTAGTACCGTAGTCAAATCTCAAACACAGATCTAATAATTAGGCTATATTGTGGTACATAGACAGTCATTGAGGTACAACAATAGTTTTCTGGTTAAATGTTCAGCACAAGTCTAGAAGGCCCCACAAGTCATGATCAGATGAACATGAATCAGAATAATTTCTTTAGCATACCACCCAAAAATTGACTAGAATGTAGGAAATAATATCTACTTAAACCAAAATGTCCTGGGGGTGGACCTTCAGCTGTGTCTTTGCTTCACAGAATGTAACCAATGTTTTCCAACTCCAGCAGGCCGCCCCTATCAACGACTTTGGGCCCCACAAACCACCAGATAGCAACATGGCTATACGGTCAAATTAATTCCAATCCCCTGATTTTTGAGCCACCAACGTGTGTGGTTGCGTACATGGCAAGATTTAGGTTTCTTGAAAAGTTGGCAGCACTGATATCAATAAAGAAAAATGAATTTAGTATTTGTAGTAATACAGAAAAATCAATTCAGTATTTGTAGGCTTTTCAAAAGTCGTGTATTTAGATTCCAGTAAGGCTTGGCCTTACCAGGCCTGAAACCTTCTGAGTGCTACAGTTCTTCACTAAGGCCTTACAAGTCCACACAAGAGTCCACAGCTCACGGCTCTGTGAGGCTGTAATTTTATTAATATATCCACAGTGCTTGTATCGACAGTAGTCTTTCCCCAAACAGCAGAGTTTCAAAGTTTTCACTGTTTTAAGATGCTTTAAATTAAAATGTTCTGTTTGCTCTTGCCTTTATTTGAACCAGATTCAAGGATTTTGGAAACTGCAATGCATCTTTTTTAGCTTGTTTATCATTTCAATTTCTGTCTGACGTTTCAATCAAGGTGCTTGATTGTTTTTAAATTTCCTTTGATTTTGCCTTCTTTTGATGGTTTTAATGGTTTTAGGTGAACTTTGTATTGCGTTGTTGTTGAAATGTGCTATAAAAATAAACTACCTTTCCCTTACTATGTAGATCTCAATGATGATTTGATGTCTGTAGAGCCTCTGAGTATTCTGAAAAGCGCTCTGTAAATAATATATTGTTATCATTAATAGGATGTTGACCGTATGAAAAATCTGACAAAGTAACCAAAAGTAAATACAATCACTCCTGAGGGTAATCCAACAATTGTCGAGGGCTGTTGGTCTCTTCCCAAACTAATTACCAACTTTGTAGCAGTCATTCATCTGCATGTAGATAATTCAAAAAACAGGATTATTAGGACTTTTCAACATCCTCAAATACCTTTCCCAGGTGAATCCAGTAGTAGGTTTTCAGTAGTGAAACCTGATGACCCCAAAAAATAACCCAGTCAGCACACAGACACATCTGTGGGTGTCTGTAACAGCCCTTTCAGTGTCACTTTATTTGCCCCGGCTCCTCCAAGCCGAGTGGTTGGATGACTAATATTCAATGGCTGACTTACTTTCCAGTCTGACTCACCCCGAACTGACTGCTCAGTGTGTTTATCCTCCATTAGACAAGGTCACTCCATGTCTAGCTAGCCTGTCACCACTTCTGAACCTAAGTGAAGATAAATTTGTATATGGTCATTGGACTGATAATCTATAAATGGTGGCCATCCAATGTCAATAACAATTATAACTGTGTTGCTGATTAACACTAGTTTGTTGTCATATAATAATACAGTGTTTAGTGACGCGGCAGTTTAGTGCTTGGAGATAAGTGTTGATAAATTTAAGGGTGCTCATATTTACAACTTCCCACAAAAAGGGCCACCTCATTGGTTGATGACACCAATGATGGTGATTTTGTAGGCTCACCACTTTGTTCCCTACCAAATTCAAAATAGCCGCCGGATGGATTGCTGTGACATTTTGTGTAAACATGCATCGGCCCAAGAGGATAAATTAACATCAGGTCCAAGTTTCACTGTGCATTTTTGATTCATCAAACCCCAGTTTGTCGGAATGAGTCCGCATTTGAAAATCACATTCTTAAGAATGTGGAAGAAGAAAATAATTTTACAGTATTAGATACATCTATAAAAATGTGCCTTCTATGAATGATTTTATCTAAGATATCTCGGTTTCTCTAAATAGGGATTGCTCTTTCTAAAGAAGAGGAGAGACAGGCTGTAGACCTACAGAGCTGCAGAGGGGAAAGAGTTTTAACTTGATCAGTTCTTACGGCACTTATCCATCTGTCTGATGCATGGGAAGGGAGCAGAGAGTACGATCGCACTTTTTGGCTTGAAAACTGCTATTGGTGGTGAATCAGACCCTCGTGCCACTTTCTTATTTCATGCATGTTTTATTATTGCAGAATTTAGACAGAATAGAAGGCAACACAACAGGCAATTGAAAAAGTATTTTTTTCTCTTAATACAAAGGGTGGAATATTAACAATATGAACAGGATGTAAAAAAAATAGCTTTTTAAGTAGGTATTCATGTACGTTACTGCAGGATATGATTATGTGAGTGTTGTAAGACGGATGAATAAACATAACAAAAGCTTTTGACATCTGCCAATTTGTATACTTCTTCTTTATTGACACATAATGGCACCCAGTTTGAGGACTTCTTTGGCTATTTCTTCCATTTTGAAATAGCCACTTCCACTTTAAATCCCGGTACTAAACTCGTGGTCTATTTAAGCTGCTCCAATTAAAATGTTCATGTTAAAAATGCATTAGATCAATGTGTGTAACGGGAAAGGTGAGGCTTGGAGTGACAAACAAGCAGCTCTATGGAGTATTTTAGCTTCTTTCATGTTGTTGTTTTGCTTTAAGACATGCAACTTTACTTCTTTCCGTTTACTCCCACCACTTTTATTGACCTAATTTTCAGCGGTACCTTCCAATGAGGAAACGCTCATATATATCCTTTATACTCTACCCACCCAGCATCAAACAGGCAAATTCAGCAGGAAAGAATCTGCTCAAGCACTAAACAAGCAGCACTTTTCAGGGTTGGGGCGTATTGAAGCCGCTCCAGCTTTAGCTTTTATCCTAATCTCCCATCGTGGTTTCCTTCCTTCCCCTCTTTACACTTCTTGTTCTTTCCCACGTCCCTTTCTATCCCCGTCTACCTCGACTCGTTCTCAAATCGCTCATTCCATCGCAAATTTTTCCTTCATCCTCTGTTCCCCTCCAGCCTTTTCTCATCTGGCTCTCTCACACCTACTCTCGGCAGCACTTAGCCCTCTTACCCGCTCCCTTTCCCCTTGATGAGCCCAGCTGCTTCTCGCACCTCTGTCTCACAGACAGACGGACACAGAGGGACAACCAGAGAACGGAGAGGGGAGAAGAGAGAAGGACAAAGCTAACAGAAGGGTAATCAGAGGAAGTGAGAAAGCCGGCCTGTGAAAGAAATGTGACAGCTGTGGATAATATCAGAGAAAAAGGTTTGGGCCTATTTCCCCTCCTCCATCGTTCCCTAACTCCAGTACCACAAGTTGTTGTTTCCCTTCCCGTTGCCATAGTAGCCGTTGGCAATTTCACATTGGAGCCACGTACCCTGCTGACCGTCAACTGGTTACAAATCCGAGGCACTCGCCTACACACACACACACACACACCAGCCAGTTTGCCCTGTTGACCAGCTGTTTGCTGCAGAGAAGCCTTGAGGCAGCAGCCTACACACAGCAGAACCTCATTACCATGTTTCTCTTTGGCAGCAGCAACTTAGTGCTCGTGTTTTTATTTCTCCACACAGTCGTAGATGCTGTGTTAGGTCACTCGTTCACGTCACATATTGCTGTGAAGGACTGGGAGAAGATCTCCCCAAACGAGAGACACGCCACAGTGTAAAGTGGTATGTTAATACAATTAAGTTAAGTTAGTGAAGAGGGAAAATAAATTTTTTCTCAGCCACTTACACATCCTCAAGTGGATGCACTAGTTTAATGGAGTGCACTGATTTTGCCGTGAGATTTCACAGCTTTAAATCCTGGTTTACGGAAGGTTGTAACCTGCATCACTTATCGTTGAACGGAAGCAGCCAAATGCTGAGCAAAGTGCACTCTGACATCCCAGAACGTTGCTTGTTTGAGCTTTCTTCTCAACCAAAGAGACACTGTGCTGCTCAGACACCAAGTTAATAACAGTGCTGTAAAAGAAAGCAAAGATTTAGCTCCCATCTATAATAACGATATACTTGAATTTTAGAAGGAATACATTTCATTTCTTGTATAAAAACGTTTTTTTCATGTAATCGAACTTGTCCTTCTCTAACAGGTCCAGAAAGGACAGTGAGTGCAATACTCTGCAATCTTTTCAGCAGAAGTAAGCGTTCAGGATTAACAATCAAGCCCATTGTGTGCTATTGAGCAGTTTACATGAAACACATATTGAACAAAATAATAAGGTTTAGCTGGGTCACCTAAAGAGAGATGCTGAATATATGCTAATTCGTACAAACCAAGGGCGTAACCACTAGGGGTGTAACGATTCATTCACTGAATCGATTGATCGATTTATATTCCTGCGATCCAACTGAATCGATCTGTGCTCCGCAAATCGGCATTCCGGACGACATATATCGATTACAAATCGATTGAAATGGTACATAATCGATTGTATCGATACTTGGAAACTGCACATTGGATTTAAGTACAAAAACGGTGTGGATGCGTGTTTGTGTGTTTGTTTTTTAGCACTTTAGACGCGTTAAACGTTACTCGATTCAGTCTGCCTGTCTGTGACGTCATCAGTACGCACCGGCAGCCGCGCGAAACTCTGAACAACAACAAAACACAGCGTCGAGGAGACGACTGCGAGCGAGACATTTACAAACCAACTTATCGATCCAGCGCGTGGAAACATTTTGGCTTTTGCAAACACGGAGGTGTTCTAAATAAGTCGGTCGCTGTTTGTAGAATATGTAGAAGACAAATTTTTAAAAAAACACGGAAACGCGGCGAATCTTTCCGGCCATCTACTGAGGCGCCGTGGGATTAAACAACGCCGACAGTCAGGACCTCTAGCAGCGTCACCGCTGCAGCAGCAGCAGCAGCAGCAGCAGGTAACTGCAGCTCTGCAGACACCTCAGGCCTCGCCAGCACCAAACTCAACATCACAGCAACAAGTTTATCTGTAAAGACATGCGACCCCACAATGTGGTTGAAAATCCGGGGTTCTGTGAATTGATCCAAACATTGTGTAATTATTGTGTAATGTGGGGGTCGTCGTGGCGGTGGGGGGTAGAGCGGGTGCGCTGGGAACCGCAAGGTTGGTGGTTCGAGTCCTGGCTGCCCCATGTCTCAAGTCGAAGTGTCCCTGAGCAAGACACCTAACCCCTAATTGCTCCCCGGGCAAAAAAATGTAAAAAGCCATGGGTTTAAAGTGTAATGTAAGTCGCTTTGGATAAAATGTAATGTTTACATTGAAAATGGCACTTGATTCAAATAAAAGGTTAATACATTTGCCATTAATTGTTGTTTGCTGGTTTATAATATCCATAATTAATTTAAACCTGATTTCCTTACAAGAAACAACAGGGATCTCACAAACTTTGCCTGCACTGTCCAGTAAAGTTACTGAATCGATTTCAAGTCAATGTATCGAATCGAATCGTTCTAAATTAACCCAGAATCGAATCGGCAACCGTGAATCGTGATTCGAATCGAATCGTTGTTAAAATTAATCGCTACACCCCTAGTAACCACGCATCCTTTGGGGGGGGGGGGGGGGCGGGGCCCACCCCCAATATTGAGAAAAAAACAATCTGTCCCCCCCCATTGACAGCAGAAAATATGTAAAATATACGTTTTCTTTCTCTTATGAACCGTTGGATAACCCCCCCCCGTCGGCCGTCCAGCGGACCCACCCAATGTCTAAACCACGGTTACACCCTTAGTACAAACCATAGATCAATACAGACTTATATAGATCTATCAGAATTGAGCTTGTAGTGGCCCATCATGGAACCTGCTGTAGGACCGTGCGTAATTAACTTGGCAGCCGTAATGACGCCCGTGGAGTGCAAGAGCAACGTTTGAAGAACGTTCACCAGTCCTGCTGGGCTCGGCACGCAGGGGCTCATGCCAGATGGTCAAGACATCATGAGTTTGGATCTGGCTCATAACATTTACTGTGTACAAGGCAAAGCACACAACAAACAAAACGAGTTGGACGTGACCCTGAAAGCACATCTGACGTTTATAGAAATCTTCATCCTATTTTAAATCTTATTTTATTTTTTGCCTCCCTTTTGGCTTCTTGTCTCCACTTCCCTGAATAAACAGCATGGAGAAGCACCAAAGATGGGTTTGACTCCTAATGATCCAAACAATATATTACCCACGTTCAGCCTTTTCCCTCCAACCTGCCATTTGCCTCCCTGTGAGGATTCCTCTCCCTTTACCGCCTGCTTTAAAAAAACAAAACATGCCCTTTTGTCGCTCTCTCTCACCAGCCCATCTCTTCCTCCCATTATCTCTCCATCTGTCAGCTTTTCTCCATCCATCCTTACCTCCACCCAGTTTCCGTCAACCTCATGGAAGAGAACACAGAAGGGGTCGGACTTGGAGGCTACATCTCGGTCCAGCAGGCTCGCTGCGGTGACGGACAGCTCCACCCGGGTGACGCAGTGCTGAGGTCCGACACTGCGCGGCGGGCCATCAGTGGTGGAGCCCAGGGTGTAGGCCATGGTCTGGGGTCACAATGATATGTCCTGGAATGCAGAGGAATTTAAGTGTGTGTGTGTGTGTGTCTTCCACTGACAGAAGGCAAAATGATGAATTTCAGAAAAATACAATTGGAGAGGAGAATAAGCCGCTACCAACACGACGGGTGTCAATATCTGTTGCCAGGCAGATTGCGTATTTCCCAACAGAAATCAGTTTACAGAGGGAGATACACATGAAGATATCAATTTAATGTTTAATCACTTTAGAAGTATGTGTAACATAAAAAAAGATTAAAAAGTGCACAACCTCTAATGGCTTCAGTTAATGAGAGTAATGCTGCCGCCTTGCTTGAAATACAGGATTTAAACACAGCTGTAAACATACGCAGAATGAAAGGCCCTGTAATGCACATTGACCTTGTTGTAGAATCTCTCTCTTACACACACACACACACACACACACACACAGACAGGCGCACAAAAACAACAAAATCACTGCAAACATAAAAGCGTCCAACATGGAGACGCCGCATGGAAGGGAAAAAAAAGGCGAGAAAACATGCATTTATTTTTGTGTAAGAAAAACATGTCAGAACATGCTGTTCCCTGTAATAACTCACATTTGGAATGATTTCAGAGAGGCATTAAGGACAGAAAAACCACAGAGCACCTTGTGTCCATCTGGGTGGTTTTGTTCTCTGAGCGGCAAGCTAAAAGGATGCTGTCTGTTGCTAAGATACTAATGTGTCATAACCAGCGTGCTCCTGCCGGTCTACTCCTATGATGTCACTGGTAGTGGTGATGTACTGAAAATACTTTGTTTTGTTTTCTTTCTTTCATTTTCTCACTCGGGGGTGAAAGGCCGTCTGACATGGCTGAACATGGTTGTATCGATTAAAGATCCCACTGCCTTTTTTCCCTTTATATGAGCTCATGAAAAAAAAAAAAAAGACACAAAATGTCTGTTAGCACCCGTCGTTAAAAAGCGCCACTTACAGAAATTACACAGGATGTTGTAATTGACCATTACAGCTGTTTTCAATATGTCTACTTCTCAACTTCTCTAGCGTGTTCGTCAGTCTTGTGTTTTACTTTGATCAGGGGTGTTATCTAAAATAATGAAGAGAGAAAAAAGAAAACCTGTCTTCAAATAGCGATCCCAAAGCGGCAGATGTCACCTCGGCTTGGAACCGCCTCGTGTGTTTTTGTTTGCGTGCACTGCAGGTACGCGTGGACGACACAGCAGCAGGAGGAGGCGGATGCACAAACCTGACTGATCCGTTGGGGCCTCTGGGTCGCACTGACCCTGCTGAAGACGTTCAAACCCCGCCGTCAGTCACACTTCACATCCACACCTCAGTCCCCTCTCTGCAGGAGGTCACAACTGAGCAGAGGGAGCGAGCGGAGTGCGACCGGTTGACGAGCAGAAGAGCACGGAAGCCGCGTAATCCTAGTTTATAGCAGTGAGACCTGCACGGTCATTAGGTCTGATTACACGTCCTGTCTGCCATGAAGCGTGAGGTTGAAGGGGCCAATGGAACGGATGTGCAACACGTAAACACTAATCATTTAGAGGCCTGTCAATTCAAATTGAAAACAGATCAATACAGCAAAGCCGCAACTCACTTTCACACTTGCACAAAGATAAAATGGATAAACATTACAACGGGCTGGACACTTAAAGTCATTTGTACTGGCGTGTCATAGCGGCGCCTCGGTATCGATCCATCAACAAACACCAGCTCCTGTCAATCGTCTACTAATCAATACCAAAGATGAACGAAAATGAAAACTGATGGCACACTTACCTCAAAGAAATGACGTCCAACTTCTTCTTGTCGCTTGTCAGTATGCAATTTCTTTAATTACCCTGCTTAGTGAGGAGAAATAAAAGGCCCCAAAGCTTTTGTTTTTCTACCAAAGGGTAAGAACTGAAGTTACAGTTGCCATTTTTTATCCCGTGAATCCTGCGAGGCGCAACAGTGTGTGAACGTAAATCATCCTCTCAGCCACCTGGACTCTGTTCTCTGCGCTGATGGACCGAGATGCGTCAAGCTGACGGTGCTATCGCACTACCGGAAGTACCGAGAGCTCTCCTTACAAAATAAAAGCGTCAAGGCGAATCAGAGCGCTTCCGTTTAGGATAATGTTTCGTGTAATTAGAACCAGAAACCGTGTTAATATTTCCGGGAGACATGGCACTCCCATGTGTTATGTTAATTACCAGCATACTATAAATTAGAGCAGCTTTTCTATTTCTGTAATGTGCATTTTGTATTTTATAGTCTAATAAGGGGAATCTATTGATATAATGTTCCTCTGTCACCCTTTTGTGGTTAAAACAGGTACTACGACCTAAATGTGTTTAGGTATTGTATATGTATAGGTATGTGTATATTATTACAGCTACCCGTGGTGTAAAAAGCATTAAGCTATTTCACTTCACAGTGAACAGTAATGCTGAGAACAGTCTCAGCATTAACCACAACATTTTAAAAAACGGATGCAAATACTGAAAAAATAAATTTAAATTGGACCGTTTAGTGTTTTTTTTCTACATGGATTATTATCATAGCCCATTGTTGGATTACTGTTTATGCTGTTTGATTGGGAGGCTACTTTATCCTTGTTGAGGCAATAAGGTTGCAGTGTTTTTACAATATTGTAATTTATTTGATTAATTGAATCTATGAATCCACAACAGATATATGTTATTTTTGTTGTTATATGTTCTATTTGTCAAGATCGAGGCATAAGTTGCAAAGATATCAAGACCTTTGTTCCCAAAAAACGGCATCCTATATTGGTCACTATACAACTCAGTTTTTCAAATCATACATGGTCACTTTGTAGCAGGATTTCTGCTTTAGTTTGAAGTCAAAGTAACCTTTTTGACACCACTGGGTAGTTGCTATATTTCATAACTTTGAAAGGCTCCCTCCAGAGCCACAGACCACGATACAGCTGTTCCTCTGGCTGGTGAGTGAGCTGAACTTCATGACTGAAAATAAGTGGAGTACTTTAATAGAGGAGAGGAGCAGACTGCACCTCATTGAGGGAACTGAAGTCCTGTGACTGAGTCTCAAGTTTGTCACTGACGGGCGCAGCTGCTGTTTCAGCTGCTCCTGTCGATATAAATATGAGCCAGTTATGAAACACCCTTTGTGCTGAGTTTAGGAAATGTACTTATGTACTTGATACCAGGTTCTATTAAATTGTTTTTTCAGGAAAAAATACATTAGCAAGTTATGTAAAGACACAACTTAAGAGGATATTGGGTTGTGTTTGTATAACATTTTTTAGGTAAAAGTTAAGAAAGAAAGAAGGTGTAAAAAAAGGCCATCACTCAATTTAGTCTTTATTTTTTGAATAATTTAATGTCAAGCAAGATTTGCCATGTTAGAGGTCGAGGCTGCTCCGAAACCTTAAAGCCAAACCCCCCTAAAGAAGATTATCTACAGTCCCAAACACATCTCGGCCCCTGCTCATTCAAATCCTGTGTCCTTGTAAAAACAGTTCTGTCAGTTTAAATAACGTCTAATTATTAATTCATCAAAATATCGGAAGAAATAAATACGCAGTTTGGATAGAGACCACAACCTAAAATGATGGTTAGAGAACATTTACTGTAATTTTATGATTTGTTGTGTTTTCACTTATGTGGCCTCTAATTATTGTTAACACATTACGGTGCAAAATAATGAAAAGTCTGCATACCTGCTTTCTCAAATGGAAGTTACTGGAATCGTGGCCCTTTAGGTTCATAGTGTACAAAGAGGAGGGCAGTGTGTACAAAGCCCACAGCAAACAGACTGGAATGGTCGGGCCAAAAATAATTGTGTTGTTTCATCTTAACATTATTTACATTTAGGCAAAATGTCAAAAGCGTTCGCGGTTCACCACACAGTGGTCTTTAAGCCTTCTATTACACACGCCTGCTGCTGCAGTCCTCACATACACAACCGATTGAAGGTATTCAAACACATCGTGTGACATGATCATGACGTAATCATTTGCTATAAAATCATTCCTCATACTTCCATGTGGTCGCAGTTCAGGGGAAACATTCAAAGCATGTTAGGTGGAGGAGAAGTTCAGTCTCCTTTCCTTCAGACTGAGCGTCTGGGCCTCAATAGCGGAGACGTTGTTCCTCCACAACCTGAAAAGCACAGGGGTGGTTGTGATGGTGGTTATATTCTCATTGTTTCTATATAACTATGTGTAGTTGATTTGAAGCATTACGATGGCTGTTACAAGACACTAACCGTATGTGGAAAAACAAAGAGGGAGACACCATGACAGAAAGTTTACCTGATCATCTGCAGAGCAGGACACGGCTGTAGAGCTTTAACCAAGGCCTCCGCTCCAGAGACACTGATGGCGTTTGACTCCAGACTGGGAGAAATCAAAAACATACTGAACGCACGTACCGTTTAATTGCCTCATAGTGTTAAGTGTGTGGGGATCAAGTAGGTCAACTACAGAGGAATGTAATTTAAACCCAAAAGGAGCCCATTTCATATATGACAATGCCTGACAATGAAAGCCTGATTTTAGGAAACCAAAATCTCAAAACTAATCTCTATTATCAAAAGCTACGACTAAATACAATACTGAAAACAACTAAAACTGGTGTGTGTGTGTGTGTGTGTGTGTGTGTGTGTGTGTGTTCAAACACTCACTCTATTCTCCTCAGCTTCTGACAGAGAGGCATAACTCGGACCAGCTCCAGTGCCACTTTATCCCCACAATTATTCCATCCGAGACTAGAAAAAGAAAAATACATAGCTGTGTGGCATCTCACAGGACAATCAATCCCTCTTAACATTCAGCTCAGAGCTGACAAACTTGTCGTTTTAAATCATACATGAACATGAAATCCATCATGTTTATGTCCCATAGACAGCGCCAAGAAGGTGACGGCTCGCTGTAATAGGCAAATGCACTCAGGGTAGATCAATAATAATCAGACAGCTGTTTTCCAAATTGGCATATTTTTTTATATGATCTCAATACCAAAAAGAAGTATGAAAACTCCTTTAGAAAATACCTCTAAAAAAGCTTCTAAAAGTCACTTTTGCCCAAAAAAGAGTTGAGATTGTAGTTATTGGTTAGTTACGGCCTATTTCTTTAAAAGCACATGAAAATAATTGGCACCAAACATTCATTTGGTAGAGATCATTGCTATTGTTTCTATGTTACTATTGTTTTTATTACATTTTGCTAAAACGCAGAGAAATCCAAGGGTTTCACTTGGCACTATATTAAACACAGACGGCTGACTGCTGCTGCCAACGTTGTTGGGATTGTATGTCGTAGTGAAAGCAGGGAGCTACAACATTAGTCTTGGATGGTTTGCATTGTGTTACTGATCCCAACAAGGTCCACACAGTTGACACTATTTGCCACAGGTCAACAGTGCAAATGGAATAGACAAAGCTGACCAGTTGAAAGGCTAAACACTTGAGTGCTTAAACCCTGCTGATTTACTCGACTGTGTGATTGCATGAATGCAAATTTGATTCAACATTTTGACATCTACATGCAGAGACTCATGTTGTTTGTTGCCACCAGGGCTAAAACTAACGATTATTTTGACTGAATTGATTAATATATTTTTTGGGATAACATTTTTTTTTATTAATTTCTAACCTTTATTCAAAAACAGAACTGACAGTGCAAATTCATAGTTTAAAAAATCTTCAGAAAGTGCACAAACAGGTTGTAATATTTTTTATAAATGGACATAAGCCCAATATATAGGCTTTTTTTTAAATAAAGTGCACAAAAAACGTATATGTTTAAAGGGACCTCAGCTGAACAATAAATAATTTATATATACATAAAAAAAAAAATACAAAACAGTAAACGTCAGAACTTGTGGTAGCAACCAGTGGTAGCAGGCCACAGAGATTTTTTTTCTCCAGAATCCAATCATTTTGTTTTGAAAAACAACCAGATTCTTTACATACATCACTCTTTACACATTTTTTTTGTCGTGCGGTCCGTGAGGCTAAAAAAGTTGGGGGCCGCTGCTCTACACTACTCACAGACGCACGCGCTAACAAACTCTCACACTCTCAACTCTCTTCAACTCTGCGTTGAAATTTGTTGCCGACTCTTAATATCGAATTCATTTTATCGATTCGTTGTTGCAGCCCTAGATGCCACTATACTACACAGTTGTTTTGCGATCCTTTCAAAAAAAAAACTAGAGGGGTCCCTGTAATATTTGTCTTACTCATTATTTACAACACATGTATTATAGGATCCTTTTTTCATCTTACCCCACATCCTGTAGGAGGGGACAGTGGGCCAGACTGGCAGCTACAGGACACAGCTCTGAAGTCCCAACAGAGGTCAGACTGCCAGACAATACGAGAAAATAAACATTTTATCACAGCATACAATCAGTATATATTATACCTAGTCCAAAACAGCGGGAGAAGCTTGGGAGTCTTACTAGATCTTGGTGAGGTTCTTCATGCACATTATTGCTTTGGACAGGCTCACTGATCCTTCATATCCAATACTGTTCTCTGAAATACTGGAAAAAAGACACACGTGTGCATAAAGAACATAAACCTCAGGACAAGTAAAAACTGACAAGCATACGTCAACAAGAAATGTGTGTGTGTGTGTGTGTGTGTGTGTGTGTGTGTGTGTGTATGTGTGACCTACTCAAGCACAGTGATGTTTGTCAGTGACGGTACAACGAGGGCCATCTTAGCGGCCGTGACATTGCCGAGACTGTTGCTAGGCAGACTAAGAAAGTACAAACAGATAATGATATTACTGATGTGTGTCTAACTCACAAAATACAAACAATAGAAATGACACAACAATACATACTACAGCTGAAGAGTTTACAGGGGAAATAATTGTTTTGCAGCAGTGAACACTATTTGAAAACACGCAAGGTTTCATCACACAAACAATGCAAGCGTGGATGAAGACATCATTCTCATCTCTGAGAAAAGCATTTACAGGAATGAGCCGCATATAAAAACATGTTTTATCCTTTGTCCTTACTGGAGCTCTTCCAGATGAGTGCAGCTGTTCAAAGCCTCCAGCAGCATTTCTCCCATGTGGTCGCTGATGAGGTTCTTTGATAGACTGGAAGCAGACACATGGACACACACGAAACAGTAAATGTACAACATGTAGTGATGAATAGTTAGGAGGCAGAATGCAATTTCTTCTTTGATACCACCGCTTGGGGGTGCTGAGGTCACAGGGTTAGCTGCAGTCCCAACACACTGCGAAGTCAAGGTGAGATTGTGTAAAACATCAACAACACACATGCCGCACTAAGGGCAAGTTGAAACGAACACACGGAGGAAAATTAACAAACACAAAACAAACTCCCTAAAGTAAATGTTTTTCAAATTAAGCAATAGGAAAAAAAAAAAAAAAAAATTATATATATACATATATATATAAAGATACAAGATATGCCAGTAGAGGAGCAATACAATAAATAAACAAATGCAACCGCACAAAATGAAGGCCACGTTTGTCCAACATTTGAAAAAGGAAACACCTGCTAATGGCAGCAGCTGGTCCACATTAAGAAGGCGATGTCAGCAAATGCTCACATCACACAAGAAGGTTAAAGCATTGGGCATGACTATCATTGATAGCCTAACTATATTATTTATATAGCCAATGATACCAAAGCATCTCATTATTTGTATCATTTTAAGATATAAAGCAAATGAACGGCAATGGAACACGGGACATTGTTGTTGTTGTTATAACCGCTGCATGAATAGTTCCCTCCAAACAACAAGCAAAGTGGCCTCTCCTCATCCAAAGTCTTTCAAAAACCATAAAATGATTATCTGCAGATTTACAAAACATGAAAATGAAACAAGGCTTAACAATATTGTGTTTAGAACTGAACCATTAATTCATATTTCTACAATGTTTTCGTGCTTAAGTGTCTATACAAATTCCTTTTCTTGTTTAATTTTCATTCTAATTTGACTATTTTTCTTTTAGCTTGCTTAAAGCTCTATGAATTCAATTAGATCAAATGGAAAGATACTATATACATACAATTTGATTGATTTAAGTATGAATTGACAATCATGCAGGTATTTGGCCAAAATATTAAGCTCGTAACTTTTAAACTGCGGCTTTCATGTCCAAAATAATTTAGCAAACGATAGCAAATATAATAAATATTTAATTTGAATTCCCTAAATCTGACAAAACAGTCACAAAGGTACCCAAAAGTTTTTGAGTGCCCAAAACCTTCCTGCCTACCTGATCTTTCTGAGCTCCGTCCAGAAGGGAAGGAGTCTGGTCAGCTCTTCTATTCCTCTATCAGCCATCCTCCAGCCCTTCAACCTGGAACAACGACGGAAACAACACATCCAGCATCACTGACGCCAACGTGCCGTCCACGACGGACTAGAATGCGATTATTCATATTGGTTTATGTGCAACATGCTCACTCTATGTCCTGCATTTGTGTGAGTCCCTCCATAGCAGCTAGAAGATCTAGCACACCGTTTGCTTGTGATGGTCCCATTGTCGTGGCAATCTTATTTAGCCTGGCCGACACACACACACACAACATGCATGATTAAAGGTCGAAAATTACTTCTCAACCATGCAATGAAATGCTCTGTAAAATTGTTGAATTGGTTCCAAACTAGTAATATATATGTATATATATATATATATATATATATATATACATATATATCTCACGTGAGGAGGATGATTATCCATCTAAGTATAATATGTATTTAAACAACATTTCTGCAGTCTCTGTTCAGACCTTCCTGCTCATCATTGAATAGCAATTTACAACTTATGAGAGAACTGGGAATTGTAAATCCCCTCCCTCGGGATCGGGACCCCGCCCCATCCCGCCCGATGACAAGCTGGTATGCTGACCGCTGTGAGAAGGGAGAGAGAGCTTGGCAGCTAAAGTGGGAGCACCCAATCATAAATAGACCAGATAATCAGAGTGGAACTTGATAGGTGTCAGTTAAGTGTCCCTGTATCACTACAGTGAGGAAATAGCTTGGCGGGCATAGCTCCGTAAATTGAATAAATACTTAATGAGTATCTAAAAGAGATCGAAATGTCAGCGGCTCAGAGTGAGAAAGCTACAGTAGGACAGGTTTATTACTTGAGACTGCGTAGGGAGTTGATTTTCCTTAGCGTCTGCGCCAGGGACATCCTGCCGTCCTCATTCAGCTGCAAGCAGTCCAGACTTGGGAGCGCACAAAGAAAATGAGTGCACACACAAACAGAGACGCACCGACCTTCTAGAAGCCACCCTGTACTCAGACGTTTGTACCCAAGTTCATTCATTTATATGCTGGTGTGTGTGAGCGTGTCTCTTACCAAAGGGTTTCCAGACGGACACATTCTGCAAGTGTTTGGATCAGCTGCAGCCCTCCAGACGCAGACCACCCACAGTGAGACAGACTAGAAGGGCCCAACGGCAACATTACTGATTGTCTACTAATAACGAGCCGTCTATGAACACTTCATGAGATTTAGATGGTGGCGATTGATCCATTAATGTAATGAAACGGTTACTCAAGGCTTACTTGAGGGATCTTAGGCGAGGCAACATTTTGGTCATGATCTTGGCTGCTGTGTCACTAACCGCATGACCTGACAGACTGGGAGAGGGAAAAAAAATGTAAAATTCTGAACATGTGAACGTAGTGCCAGATTTTTATTTTTTTTTCTGAAAGGAAATGCTCCTGACAGGTCATAAGATGTGTGTGTGTGGCTCACTTTAAGCACTGAATGGCTGCAGCCTGCAGCAAGGCCTCGGACAGCTTCTCAACCACAGCCACAGACGCCTCTTTGGAACCAATACTGCACAAGACAAAATTAGTTGCTTAGCATTCTAGAATTTAAAAATAGATCTTTATCTTGGTGTCCGATGTGAGAAAAACTCTCACCTGAGAGAAGTGAGATTTGGCAGCGAGGGCAGCACAGAACAGAGAAACTCAGCGCCGTCTATTCCCAGACTGTTGTGGGACAAACTGTGACGATGAGAGAAAAACATTTCTTTAATTCCTCTTCTGTTTTATTGTAGCCTTGTGCACAATATTCATACAGGAAATAGAAAGTACTAACTCCAGCTCTGTCAGTGAAGGACATCTCTGGATGACGCTCTTCATAGATGCAAGGTGATGTCCCTCCACTGCACAGTCCATGAGGCTGGAAGACATGAGAGGAAAGGTGGACTTTCTCAGGGACCAGAACCACTGCCAGAAAGTTACATGCAAGCATTGTTTCTGTTTTTCTTTCAAAATAAGAAAACAATTTCTAAATTTCCAAACATTTAGTGTTGCTTGCTTACAAAAAATTATGTCCATGTCAGACTAAAGATACCTTTACCGGCTGATGTTTGATTTGTTTCTGAGAGATATTGCATTGCACTTCCTTGTTAAAGCAAGGCGGCCACGAAGTTGATATTGTGCCAGTCAAACAGCGGGACCACAAAGGGATCCTGCTAGATAATAACGTCTGAGCATGTAAAGAAAATAAATACCCAATTTTCTTTGTGGCCAGTAATGGAGTCATATCTGCAGAGTCATCACTAAGAAGAAGAAAAAAAAACAAGTCAAATATAGATAGTAAACACAAAGTGGCCCCACTAGACATTAACAATATAAGACGTCCCTCAGTGTTTGGAGATTTCTAGTTTTCTGGACGTGATGTCTGGATATCCTGCTGCTTTAAAGTTTAAGTACAAGAAAAAGTTCCCACTTCGGGAAATCTGGTGTCTTGTATCATTCATTTAATAATTGAGGGAAGGTACAATTAGATAAACACATTTTGGAGTGAGAGGGTACTTATTTTAAAGATAGAACCTAAATATATCACCTGACTGAGGTCAGTTCAGTGGAGTTCACCAAAGACAGATGAAGAGTGGTGTGCTGAACCCTGCAAAGTAAACATAATTAGTACCCTTATTTAAACATAATGTGTCTATTCTAACGCGAGTTTCGATGTTCTGTATGTATCTGCATACCTGATGGTGTGTATGCTGCTGCTGAGATAAAGACAGCGGCACAACAGACTAACGGCTTCCTCGGATCTGATCCAACGCTCATCAATACTTGAAAGGTAGACAGTGTGGTACAGCTCAGAAACAAGCCACGTAAGAAATGTTCCCACACGGGCAACGTGTAATGTACGTCTTCATACCTCACGCTAAATCCTCTCTGACTGCTGTTTAAGAGTTTTACAAAGTCTTCAATCCAATCCGACTGCAGAAAGTTGTTCTTGAACCTGTGGGCAGACCTCAGAGTAATCAAATGAACCGGACAACCGGAGACACAGAGACCAGTGGATGTCCTACGGATCATTTTTATTCATATATTCACATTAAGTTTATCAAGAAAGTGTCAATCATAATGGGACAATACAACATTTTCTCTCTCATCAAAACAAACATTCTTTTCCAGGCGGGACTCAAGAGACAAAAAAGTTCATATTAAAATATGGTGTGCTCACTCCAGTTTGGTTGGACTTGGAGAGACGGAGATGATCTCTGCTAATCTGACCAGATGGTCACGTTCCAAACCACTATCTGTGACGCTGGCAAACAAGAGGTTGAAAAAGAACACGTGAAGCCTTTTCGAAGGTTGCAAGAAATCCAGTGTGTGTGTAGAAATATCACTGACAATTTGGCACAGTTACGTATGGAAATGAATTCTGTTGGATGGACATCTCACATGCCATTCAAAAAACATTGGTACGGTTAGAGGGATAATTAAGATTTTTTAAGCGAGGTTGTATGAGGTTCTCATCCGTAGTAAGTGACGGTAAACGCCTCGTTGTACGGCCCGAGTTTGGAGAAACAAACTGGTTCCAGACGATGACCAACTGACATAGAAGGAAAGCATTGTTGAGGACGAGGTCAGCAGTAATACGTTTATTTGCCATTTAACAGAAAGGTCCACCTAATAAGTCAGTTTAAGTGTACATTATATTTACTATATTTTTGCTTATATATTTTAACCATGTGGGAATTAGTAAAATTTCAATCTGCTCTCTTCAAAGCCAAATCACTACTTTAACAAACATTTTAATTTAGCAGGGAAAATCTCACAAATCCTCCCCTCTATAGGAAATACACTGACCATGGAGAAGTACTTCATACAACCCTACTTCATCATTCAAACGCTTCAGTACTTACTTGTACTACTGCAATAAGGGATTATTATCCTACCTCAGCGTTCTCTCACAATCTTCATCATGTGTAAACCAGATGACACACCTGTCTTCTGCATTTAAACTATAGGCAGAAATTTGAGTTCATGGACAAAGAGAAAGACGGGGAAGAATAGTTTTTTAGACATCTCTCTGTGTTTTTTTTCACTTTTCACAAAGCAGCACTTTATTAACTCTTTTCCCCTCTGCACAGACCCACCTGATCTCTACGCCACAGACGTTGTCACAGGTGCGCAGCGTGTCGGCCACATCCAAGAGCCCCTTCTGAGTCAGGCCATTGTTGCTCAAACTGTGCATAGGGACACATTAAAGACCACAAAAGTGCCATTCATACCATTTACTGACCGATGTGTAATTTCACTGTCAAACGTTCTCTAAATACACATAGTGTGTGACCTTTGTTGTTAAATCACATATTTGCATTTAAGGGTAAACGACAACATCAGACTGTAATCAATTAACACGGGCCTAGCTGCATTTCTAAATGTATGTGACATGTATGTCATTTACCAGATTTCCTATCTTTTTTATTTCTAACAATACCTTCAATAAAATAAAATACTTTGTTAAGTACAGCTGGTGTAAGTTATTTTGGTCTTCAGAACAAAGACAAGGGAGTCTTTCGTGGAGTCTTCGGGGCGGCTGAATGCGGCGCCTTCTTCTGCTATTTTTAATAATGTGTTTGACCCCTTCACCCGTGCCTGTTCGAATCTCTTCCCGCAGATACTACAGGCCTCGGGCTAGATCTGCTCTCTATCGTAACCTCTCCTCTCTCTCCTATCCCACCCGCTCCACACACGTCCAGCACCTCGTCACAGGAGGTCTCTGGAACTGCCAGTCAGCGACTCGCAAGGCTGACTTCATCTCCGGCTTTGCTATCCAGCAGTCACTCGACTTCCTCGCTCTGACCGAGACCTGGATCACACCTGAGAACACATCCACCCCAGCCGCTCTCTCCTCCGCCTTCTCCTTCAGCCACACTCCCAGGCCCACTGGTAGGGGTGGTGGCACAGGTCTACTCATTTCACCCAAATGGAGCTTTTCTCTCTACCCTCTACCACCATCCACCCCATTGTCCTTTGAATTCCATGCTGTAACAATCACTCACCCGGTACAATTAACCATCATTGTCCTCTACCGTCCGCCAGGCTCCTTAGGTCATTTCTTGGAAGAACTGGACATTCTCCTGTCTAATTTCCCCGAAAATGGACCTCCGCTCATCCTCCTGGGTGACTTCAACATCCAGACAGAGAAGTCATCTGACCTCGTACACCTACTTTCTTCCTTCGCTCTGTCACTCAGTCCCTCTCCTCCTACTCACAAAGCCGGCAATCACCTTGACTACATCTTTACTAGAAACTGCTCTACCACTAACCTCTCTGTAACTCCACTTCATGTGTCTGATCACTTCTTCATCTCTTACTCCCTTCCACTCTCTATAACTAACAAACCTCCCTCATTGACTAACTCTATACCGGCTCGTCGCAATATTCGCTCCCTCTCTCCCTCCTCGCTGGCATCCTCTGTTCTATCAGCTCTCCCTTCAACTGACTCCTTCTCACTCTTGCATCCGAACGCTGCTGCAGAGACTCTCCTCTCAACTCTTTCCTCCTCTCTAGACTCTCTCTGCCCTCTTACGACACGACGGACTGGCAAATCCCCTCCGGCTCCGTGGCTGTCTCAACCGGTCCGTGCCATGAGAGCCACCATGCGAGCGTCGGAAAGGAGATGGCGTAAATATAAACGACCTGACGACCTGCTTGAATTTCAATCTCTCCTCTCCTCGTTCTCTGCCTCTATCTCTGCTGCCAAAAGCTCTTTCTACCAATCCAAAATCGAATCCTCATTCTCCCCAAAAAACTCTTCTCAATCTTCTCCAATCTCCTCGAACCCCCTACCCTTCCTCCACCCTTCTTCCGGGAGACTTTGTCAACTACTTCACCAAGAAAATAGCTGACAAACGCTCCTCCATCTCAAACCCACCTCCTACTTCTCGCGTCGCACCGACCTCACCTCTTTCGCCCTCACTTTCCTCTTTCACTGCCCTCTCTCCTAACCAAATTCTTACCCTAGTAACCTCTGCCCGTCCGACCACCTGCCCTCTTGACCCCATTCCATCACATCTTCTACAATCTATCGCACCTGACCTTCTTCCGTTCCTTACCTTTCTCATCAACAACGCTCTGTCATCTGGCTGTTTTCCCAATTCTCTGAAGGAGGCAAGAGTCAACCCTCTCCTGAAGAAACCCACCCTCAACCCTTCTGAAGAAAACAACTACAGACCGGTCTCTCTTCTTCCCTTTTTGTCCAAAACCCTTGAACGTGCTATCTTTAATCAACTCTCCTCTTATCTCCACTGTAACAACCTCCTTGACCCCCACCAGTCAGGTTTCAAGGCAGGCCACTCCACAGAGACTGCTCTCCTTGCTGTCTCTGAGCAACTCCACACTGCTAGAGCCGCCTCTCTCTCCTCTGTCCTCATCCTTCTGGACCTCTCTGCTGCATTTGACACGGTCAACCACCAGATCCTTATTTCCTCCCTCCAGGAACTTGGTGTCACAGGCTCTGCTCTCTCCCTTCTCTCGTCCGACCTCGATGGCCGCACCTACCGGGTAACCTGGCGAGGATCTGTGTCGGAACCGTGTCCTCTTACTACTGGAGTTCCTCAGGGTTCCGTGCTGGGTCCCCTCCTGTTTTCGCTTTACACCAACTCTCTTGGCGCTGTCATTCGCTCGCATGGCTTCTCTTACCACAGCTATGCCGATGACACCCAACTAATTCTCTCCTTCCCTCACTCGGACACCCAGGTGGCGGCTCGGATCTCTGCCTGTCTAACTGACATCTCTCAGTGGATGTCCGCCCACCATCTAAAAATCAACCCCGACAAGACCGAACTACTTCTCTTTCCCGGAAAAGATTCGCTTACCCAGGACCTGACAGTCAACTTTGGGAACTCCGTACTAACGCCCACCTCGACTGCTAAGAACCTCGGCGTCACACTCGACAGCCAACTCTCCCTGACTCCCAACATCACCGCGACAACGCGATCCTGTAGATACACGCTCTACAACATCAGGAGAATACGTCCACTTCTCACTCAGAAGGCAGCGCAGGTACTGATTCAGGCTCTTGTCATCTCCCGCCTGGACTACTGCAACTCCCTCCTGGCTGGTCTCCCTGCCACCACCATTCGACCTCTGCAGCTCATTCAGAATGCAGCAGCTCGACTGGTCTTCAACCTTCCGAAATTCTCCCATACTACTCCACTCCTCCGCTCTCTTCACTGGCTACCGGTGGCCGCCCGCATCCGTCACTCATCTATAGCAAATTGTAAATTGGCTTATTTGAGGAAATTGCACTTTTCTTGTTCTGTTTGTACCCTATGGTTGAATGCACTTATTGTACGTCGCTTTGGATAAAAGCGTCAGCTAAATGACATGTAATGTAATGTAATGGTCTGGAGATGATCAAACTCCACATATCTTACTTTACGTAGGTGGTGATTTTAAGCTTTTGGAGACAATCCACAAACGTCTTCACTCCTTCATCTTCCAGTTGGTTACTTGATAAACTGCAGTCAAAATAAAGAATAACCCAGCATCCACACCATGTATACACGTCCGTCAGCTAACGTATGAGTAAGAATGGGTTTTATATGCACGTACTCCAGGTCAGCCAGCTGAGGACCCTGCTGTAGGATCTCAAGCAGTCTCTCCAAGATGTCACCTTTCAAGCTACAATGAGTTAACCTGTGTGAACACAGCAAAACTATCAGCATTACATTAAGACAGTTACAGTGTGTTCCCACTTTCCTTCATTCTCCTTTCCTTATTTTGTGCGGATAAAGAAGTACATGTAACAGAACATGCAGAGTAAACAGCTCTCACTGCACCCAAACTCCTTCAAACCAACATTTCATAACAAAATAATCAATTATGTTCAGTTTTTCTCCCAAACTCTAAAATAAAAATAAATCAAACAAATGAAAAGATTTGTATATTTGCAATGTGAGAAAGAGTAGATCTGCTGCAAGAAGACGCTAGATTGGATTTCTTAAAAAGTAAAATTAAAGTTATTAACTTTAAAGCACACAACCATGAGGTTTCTCAGAAAAATCTAGATTGCTGATCACAGACCTGCAGCTGGTTTCTTTGGCCTTCACACTGTCAAACTCAATGAAGGATTCAGCTTGAGGCCTTAGGAAGAAGACAGAGCAGTTATGACATAAAACTAGAGGCCAAGAGAAGCTAAAAACAAATTGTACCTGAGCTCCACTGAGGTGACTCGCTGACTGACAGTCAAACATCTGACCAGCACCAAGGCTGCATTTGTGGATGTGATGCTGTGGCTGACACTAAAGAAGAACATGCTAGAGGTGATTCAAAGGAAATGTGAAGGCGATAATTGACAATAATACAAGAAACAGGTGCTGGGTTCAAATGTTAAAGGTCACAGTATTAAATTACTTGAGTCTCTGCAGTGACGTCATCTTGGGCAGGACCGTCAGCAGATTCTTAATAGCCTTGTCCGTCAATGCGCAGTGAGACAAACTGCCACAAAAGATGAAACAATTTCAAAGCCTACCTGTTTGTTCATAATGATGATGTGATAATGTGTGGATATACATGAATTATACTTACTCTAACTCCAAATAGCCGTGACACTGGACCAATCGTTTACAGAGGGGGGTCATGTCAGATGGTGGGAGACTGCTGTTGTTCATCCTACATCATCAGAGAAGAATTAATTTTTTTTAAATAATTTTTTGTAATTTCACTTGTGGTAGACTGTGTGTGTTTTTTTCTCAAACTCTTTATCGGATCAATATACCTGAACATCTTTTTGGGGTGTTTGTCATCCCTAAAAAAGTCAGAGCATTAGTTTATTTGTAAAAAGAGCGACAGTGGTATTCAGATGTGAGGCGGATTTCAAGTTTTCTACCTTTTATCAGGGCAGAACTTCAGGATCACCTGCTCTCCACTAATAAAAGAACAGGACGCGATCAGATGAACACGCAGTACAATTTAAGACAAATGTATAGTAAATAACACCACTTTACCCTCAATTAATTAATATGCAAATGAATATGTGTGTGTGTGTGTATATGTCACGGTTTGGGTTCATGACTCTTGGGTTCTTGCCTCTTTTCTCCCTGGGTAACGTCACTTCCTTGTCCTGTCATCCCCTGTGATTGTCTGCCGGGTTATGATTGTTTCCACCTGCGTCCAATCACCTGCGCCTCCCTTGTGTATTTAAGCCATGTGTGTCTCTTGTCACTGGTCGCGTCATTGTTGAATGTCCGGAAGTCCATGTCGAAGTGTTCCTGGTTCTCGTCTGTGTTTTTGCCCCCCTTGGAATTTAGATTTTTGGGAATTTTTGACTATTAAAGTCCTTCTTTGTTTCTTGAAAACTCTGCGTTTGAGTCATGCCTTCCCTGCTACTACTACCACCTGACAATATATATATATATATATATATATATATATACACACACTGTACTTCTATTTTGAAAATATATATGTATTTTTCTATCCATGCAACGACCAAAATTTACCAAAAAGAATACCTGATGTGGGTTTCTGTTAAGTTGTTTTGGGAGCACAAAGCACCAGCCAGCATCACAACTCTTTCCTTGCCAATTCCATTGTCACTGGCACTGAAAAGCACATAACAAACAACAATGAGCTAGAGAGGACATTATTTCCCTCAAATACGACATTCCTACCAAATAATGTCCTTATAATGACCTTATAATAATAATAATAATAATACATAAACACAGCAGTGGCCAGTACTAACATATTTGTTTGGAACCTGTTTGGTGACAAAATAACAGTCTGGCTTTTGATAAACAATCAATCAACCGTCTCATATCCATTTAAAACCTCCAGTCCTAATAGATCATTTCTATCAATTGCATATCTTGCAAATCTTAAATTGGATAGTTGCTATAAAGATCCTATGAAAGCTTATCTTTCGGGTGGCTTATGATGTCCTAAATCCTTTTTGTGTGTACCTTTTTTTTATCACTTCTAGAAGTCTTACTTTATTTCCTGGATGGCACTGAGACGGGGCAGGATGTCCAACAGTTTCCTCAGACCTTTGTTGCCTAAACAATTACTGGAAAGACTGACACAAAAAATCTAGGATTTAAAAAAATGTCAGACACAGGAAAGGGAATATAGAACAATTTCTCTAAACTTTGGGCCTGTCGACTGCCATTGACTGTAGGTTATACACGACTATGAATGAGTACTTCAGAAACTCATAGCTGACCATTTAGGCAATCGGAAATTAACACCAGTGACAAAGGTCATAAAAATGTATCATGATTCCTGAACCCCTCTGAATATACCACGTGTGAGGAAAAAATATATTTTTTGGGTATCTTACTCCAGCAAAGTGAGATCAGGGCATGTTCCCAAACTCCTCCACACCCTCTCCAAATGAGTCGGCAGTAGACCACAACAGCAGAGGCTGACGGAAGAAACAGTTTCAGTATTACCATCATCATCGTCCGACAGTTTATGTCGAAAGTTTATGTGTCCAAAGGGGATCTTTAAGATTATTTTATTCACTGCTTTCTCTCTCAACTATAGCCTGGGGAAGACTAATCTGAACCTGTGAGATGGTTTGTTACACGGAACTTTGGAAGCTGGGCCTGAAAAGCCTTCAGTGTTTTTCTTTGATGTTCTTTCAAGAAAGGAAATATTTCCAAAGCTAACTGACGCTATTGCATAGATTAGGGTAACAACATTGCTCTCTCTGAACAAACAGAAGCTATTTTTCGTCACTAATTCTGAGCCCAAAAATGCAACAACGGTCCCAAGAGCGGAATTGAATCAGAGAACTTAATATGGCCATGCACTATAAGCCCTTGGATTTTAACACATACCAGAGCACTTTAGATACTTGATTAGTGTTTTTTCTCCCTCCAGAAAACACTATAGACACCTGACCAGGACTCTGTAATCTGAAACATCAAACAAATACATTCACGTGTTAGTTGAAGAAACTAAGAATTTTAGCACTAATCATGTGCATGGGGCATACCATTGACGCTAAGCAATACAATATTTAATGTTGCTGACTAGTTTACACAGTGATGGAGAAAATCGTCCCAAGTATTCACTGAATGTGAGTAACTGTAATTATGCGTTTGTTAGTACAGCATGTTAAAAGATATGTGTATTTATATTGCTTGTACCTGATCCGAAGCTCCACCACAGTGGGACAATCAGAGAGCAGAGCAGTGAGACTCACCAAACCCTCCACGGTTAAGCCACTGTCATTTACACTGATAGGAAAATATCAATGCTTATAAATCCTTAACCAAACATATTAAGTGGTAAAGTAAAACAATTTCATGGCAAAAGAAGCCAAGCAAATTACGGGTAGCTTTTACGTCGTATTTGGTGATCGGTAGTTTGGTATGAGTCCAGTCTTACATGATCTTCTTGGTGATGTTGAACTTTGGCAAGAACTCAATCATTTTCCTCAGAGTGTCAGCATCCAAGTGGCCTCCAGAAATACTAGGAAATGAACACACACGCACAGTTCAAAATGGGTGTGGAATTTTATTGGATGATAGCATCCAAAATGTCTCTTTTGGTGAAGCCTGCTGTGATGGCAATATTGAAAGTGACTGCTCATAGTGAAAAAAATGACTACTATAACAACTAGTTTTTATTGAAACAATTGTACTGTTGGGTCAATTTCTGTAGTTAAGCCGGGAACAAGGAAAAAACAATACGTCAATAAGTGGCTGTTCCAATTGTACTCAATAAGGCATCGTTAAGGAGTATACAGAATTGTATGAGGTGTAACTCACTTCAGAATGGACAAGGAGGGGCAACGTGCCAGTGAATTTGCAAGTTTTTGCATATCAGGCCTGCTCCATTTTTGGTTCAACAAGCTGGAAAACAAATTTTACAGCAAAATAAAAATATAAACAACAAACTGAAAACAAATTCAGCACATTAAATAAACTGGCTTATCTGTCATAGAGGTCCCTTGTTCATAGTAAGAGCAAAGCACTGTCTATACTAGTAAAGATCTGGAAAGTGGAATGGTGTTATTATCTAATGTCTTACCTGATTGTTGGTTCAGACTCAGTTTTATGGCTGCAGGGGAAAGCATAAATAAAACCAAATGTCTCTACATGCAGTATTCATGTGATGACGTGCTGAATGTTTCATTGCTGGTTTGTATCTCCTCATAATGTTTATCAAACAATAAAGTTACCTGTTCATATCTGGATTTTGAGAAATAGTGACCGTCAATTCCTTCGTCCCACTGCAAAAACAAAACACACACGAACAGAGTTACAACAATGATTACTTGCTTTCTTTTTTTTCTTGCTTGGATTTTGTGGCCAATTTTCGTGGCTGTAGCTCCATAACGTACAAAAGATACAGGTTAAATCTACCTGAGAGAACCGGAACACAGGAGCATACAATAATAATAATAATTAATAAGTTTATTATGGAATTCAACTTCATATAACTACCGATTTAGCACAACAAGTAAACAATAATTTGTCAGACACTGGTTCTGAATATGTGTAATGAGAGCTGCAAGTGGGAGCAAGACTGGATCCAGCATTGAATTAAAAGTCACTGGAGGCTGTCAGAGGGGGGGCTGAAGCAGCTCCGTCCTGCTTTTTGGATTCAGTATTGCTGGACAAATTTCGAGGTCCTTCGTTTGGTTGCGGATAAAAGGCTTTGCATAGTGTCCTGTTGCAGCGGCATGACACGGCAACGAGCAGCTGAGAATATCTACTCCACATAGGGAGCAGGATCGCAGTGGAAAAAGAAGAGAGTAAAGCACATGTTACCAAAAAGTGTGTTGAGTTGAACAGGGACGCAGCCTGGATTTTTTCATGATATTTTTACATCAATGTTCATATTTGTGTTGTCAAATTTCACCATGATGCAAAAATTCAGTCTCTTGTGTTATCATATATTGAATCCAAGCAAAACTACAGCGTTAAATTTAGGGCTGTCAAAATGAACAGGTTGGTCATTGCGATTAATGTGGCCGAGATTAGTACGCTAAAATATTTTAGCGCAGGAGGCGCGACACAAAGCAGAGAACTCCTTAGAGGAGTTACTCCACGTGTCAAACAGAACGTGGGTGGGTGGCAAACGGACCACTTTACGCACCACAAGACTAAGCTAGCAGCTAAGCTAAGCTAGCCGGAGTTCTCCCTGATCAAATGTGTGTAGTTTTGTGTTTAAAATACAATTATAATATCGGTAGATGAAATCCAATGTTCTGATTGGTTGAGTGTGAGTCACAGGGGGGTGCGTTACTAAGCGATAAGGTAAAGTTGCTGTTCACATTGACCCGATCGTTCCGTATCACTGCACACTCAAAGTAACAGGTTAGCTTTTGTGCAACCGTTAGTTGACATATTAGTTTTTAGCTCGGTGGCGATCTTGAGGCAGTACTTCAATAATGTAACAGGTTGAGGGTTGCCTAACAACACCACCCAACTGTTATATTATCGATAAAGTACAGCCTCTCAGACCTTATTGCTTTATTAAACAATAGTTTCTAAAATACACGCTTTTTAAAGTGATTACTCGGGACTTAGTCTTTTGAAGAAAAACCAAGCGATTCATACATTTGGAAATGTGCGATTAATTTGTTGTTGTTTTGTTTGTTTTGTATGTTTTTTTAACAGCCCGAGGTTAAATTACATGAAAACCTCAGATTTGATCTGCAATCAACAATGCAATGCAATCTGCAATCAAGGACGCCAGTGATGACAGGGTCAGCATGTCAATGCTGATGAGTTCTCGTGACACAGCGTCAAGCAAACTGTTTGTGCGTGTGTGTGTGTGCATGGGTGTTTTCCTACTCTGCATGAATGTGCTGGATGTTCAAGAACGAAGACATTTTCCCGATGAGAAAGTCGACTGCTTCCAAAGAGCTGTTGTTTCGACCCAGCCTGCGAGGTTTGTAGACACACACGGAATCAGTCACAGATCCTTTCAAATCTTGAGATATTGTAGTAATTGAAAAACGGCATCTTATTGGCAGTATACACTTACTTCACCAAAACCAGTCTTGGTTGTTTGGTAAAAATATCAGCTATGTGTTTGATTCCTCCGTCTTTCAGATTGTTGTCGCTCAGGCTGTAATGCAAAAACAAAATTACGGTGTTAAAGTTTAGACCTGGACTCAAACTAATTCACCATGACATTAAATATAAGGCGGTAAAGCTCAATCTAGTCAGAGCCACAAAAATCTGTTCACACATTTATTCAACAGAACTGTCAGAAGATATGTTATTTGCAGGGGAATTATGTTGCATCAAATATACTTGATTTCAGTGACTTCTGGACAACTCGGTAGAGCGGAGGCCAAACTAGCTGCTCCTGTGGAAGTTAGACTGGCACCACAAAACCTTAGAGGACAAAAACAAAATCACCCGTCACTCGTTTTTGTAAAGGTTTTAAGGGCTGAACTTAAGGAAGAAGTCAAAAGACTAGAAAAAGTGTAGCAAGAAAACATGAATAATCTTACTCTAGCTTCCTCAGGGACTTGAATTTTGGCAAAATGGAGGACAACTTCTCAGCAAACTTGTCGCCATACCTGCGGCTGCAAAAACTGAAGCACACAAACAGAAATGACACATTCATCAAACCAACCTTTATGTTGGAACCGAGGCGCAAATACGTAGAACAAAACAAAAAATATGAATTAACTGGAAATACAAGCAATAAAATGGCATCGAGAACTACTATCATATTGCACCACAAAATAAATGATGAATATATATGCGTGTGCTGTGGTGAAAGGGTGGGGTGAGTACATTTCTTAATAATTAATATATTGACATACACACAAGAAGGAATATATTGGAATAGAGTTGTTTATAAACTCCAAATAAAGATAAATAAATAATACAAATGTTTACTGCTTAGTATATTAGTTGAGTTCCATGTAAGTGTATACCTTGTGTAGGAGTTAACTCCTTTTATGACTTGGTCCAATGAAAAACCTTAAATAATGTTAGTTGTTGTCTTTTTGCTCTTAACTCCAGGCCACTGTATGACAATTTGTTACAAAAAGAGACTTTGCCAACCACAGAAACCCGAAAGGAAATAAATAAATATTGTTAGATTCACAGTAAGTGGGACAGGTGGCCGATCAGCCGAGGAATGCTGACAGCAAAGTGGCGGGAGCTACACTCGTCATCGCTGCTCAACTGCTCTCTAAACGTCCAGAAGCCAAGCACCGGTTTACCAACTGTCGACGGCTCAACACCCCTCGCCTCACTGTCCCATTTATATATATTACAAGGGCAGTTTCCAACCGCTCAAGTGCACCTTGCCTTTGGTCAAAAAATTGTTCTTAGCTTCAAATGCTATGTCTATGTTTACGTAAGTAGTTGTCTCTATGTAAGTTAAATTCCCCCAGGGGTGCATATCATTCTGATAAGAGATTTTTCATGCATTTGATTGTGATTGCTGATGCATTTTTGCTGATGTGAATATTTGTCTGGACTTACCTGAGGTAGTGAATGTGCTGACACATAGGAAGGACATCTAAACACTCTGACTCCATTGAGCATGCTCTAAAGTCCAATCCAATGGCATTATCACCTACTGAGTTAACTACAAAAGCCAGAGCATCAATATCATTAGGTAGTAGCCGGATGTTGCGCAGTTCCAAGGTGGGTCTTGTACCAACAACCTGCTTAGCTAGTTGGTGGTCTTGGCTCTCCTGAACACAGTGGCAAAGCTCCAATATCTAAGAAGAGATGTGAGACGGATAGATAAGTATGGAAAGAGCATTGTAAAAAGTTAAAGTATACATCCATTTGTCAGAATTCACCTTTGGTCCTGTCAGATTGCTTTGACAAAGTTTTGTTAGCAGGTTCAAAACCAGAGTTTGTCTTTTTTTGACCCAAATTTGGCCTCCTGTTCCACCAGGGGTCCTGGCTAATTGAACTAAGGCTGGAGTGCAGCACGGAGAGGCCAGACCACAAACAAACAGGTGCAGGGAGTCAGTGAAGACTGTCCTCTGGTCGGACTTGGTCATCCAGCGAGTTCTCAGACTGAATCTGAGAGCAATGGGGAAAAAGAGTGAGCATTTTATTTAGTTAAAGATTTGGGTGCATTCATACATTGTACTTCTATAGAGGACAGCTAACCATGTGCATTAGAGGGCTCCAAAGAGGGTTTTTGCAACACATTTATGATTTAAAGTGCTGATTAAATGGTGTAGACTTCCAGTAAGTTGGTTAGTCCTGGCAATACGTGTTTAATTTGACTGGTAAAGTGGTAGCAAAACACTCGATCTACTCAGAAATAAGAAACACACTATTAACATAATCCATAATGTCACTGTTAACAATAAGACAGTGTTCACATTCTGCTGCCCCCACCTCTGCAGGCCCATTTACCCTTAACTGCTGTTATTGGAACAGTGAATTCCTGGTCTCCTTTTAGGGAAGGAGGTCATATTGGGCTCAATTTACACTGGTTATCTTGTTCCCTCGTTGGATTACTCCTAATATGTTCTTGGTATAGTGTTACATTATATGCTGAAATGGTTTGTGTCGTTTATCCAGATAATCCCAAGGTACCTCTAACACACTACTGATTAAGGTGAGTTTTTTATATATATATATATATATATATATATATATATATATATATATATAGCTATATAGAGATATATCCTAACCATGACATTTTCCCGACGCAATGGTAGGTGGACATGTTACATCCCATGTCATTTAGCTGATGCTTTTATCCAAAGTGACTTACATTGCATTTTTTTTTTAACCCATGTTTTTTACATTTTGCCCAGAGAGCAATTAGAGGTTAAGTGTCTTGCTCAGGGACACTTCCACACGGAGCAGCCGGGGTTTGAACCGCCGACCATGCGGTTCCCGGTGCACCCTCTCCACTCCAAGCGCCACTACGCCCCTGAGCCTCCTGTTATGTATATATATATATTGTATTTATAATGCATTCCATGTAGCGGACCAAGCACAGTTCCATTTGGGTTCACTGAACATATTCCCATACCTCTTCTTAAGCTGCGTGTCACTGACATCATCACTCGTCATGATTCTGACTGCAGCCAAAAACTCCTGTAAAGTCAGATGAGTGAAGCAGTAGGAGTTGACAAGCATCCCATCTTCACATCTCAGCTCCACCTAACAGGAAGATATACACAAACATAGCATTTAATATAAGAAAAGATGTCATAGATGCCAAAGCCGTGTTAAGTCCGCTGAGATTTTTATTTTTAATCATAGATGTGATATTAGCAAAAGCTTTTTCAGTATTCTGAAATGTAATGAAACCCTAACCCTTAATATTCTGATTCAATCTATATTTGTTTTACACAACTACATTTTTACTGCTGCCTATCAGCTCTCACCACCCCAGACAATCAGAGTAGACGACAGGAAAAGGCAGGAAGTGAAGTCAACCCAGGTACACAAGGGGCAGGAAACTACAAAATAAAACAGGAAACAAACCAAACACTCCAGCTATGTAGAGAACATTCATACATACTGTACAGCAAAGTCTGACCTGTGAGAGGAGCCCTTTCTTGATTGAAAACTCTAAAACATCCTGAGAAATGTCTTCTTTCATGAAGAGGATCTTGCTTTCCTCTAAGCCGTTCCAGGCCAGCTGACTCAGCTCACCCAACTCTGATCGATGATGACTCAGAATACTGCACAAAAAGACAAAATAACTTGATTGGTACATTTGGATTTCATACAATCAAAGATCACATTTAAAAAATGTGTGAAATGCGTGGTTACAATTTTGTAACCGTAGTTCTATAACTCCAAGCGGAGATCTCCACCATGGCTAATACTGTTCTCCAATCACAAGCACGCATTCGGCTACCGAAATATGTCACTTGTTGCCGGTGAACACCCACTTGAGAAATTGTAAGATAAGCCGGGCTGTGTGGAACCATTCCACGGAGTTAGACATGAGAAGGTGAGGTCTTTGAAAAAAAGGAACACCATCCTGCCTCAGCACCGTGTCAACACATATTTTGAAGGTGAGCCCAGGCACAGCTAAGAATGGTAAAGCTGTTTAACGATCAACCTACCTAGTCTCGCACCGGTTAAGAAATGGGAGTCCAAAAAAAGTCTTGAAATCATCTTAACTTGGGAATAAAAAATTAGGCACAGTAAAACCTGTTACATACGTTGTTAATGGGAACAACAGATACATACTGTTTAACTGGTTGTGGATGTCTGCTACGAGGTAAAACATATCCTAGTGAAGGGATAAATTCACTTCCTTAATGCGAAAAAGATTGCAGAGTTGGAGAAATTTTAACCAGTTTTCATTCCCTCAGTCTCACTGTATAGAGCACCAGCTCCGGTTGGCTCTTATATTGAGCCACAATCTGCATAGATGAACCCGGGACTGTACCAGCAGCGCCAGGGGAAGCACAGACTTTGCATGGAGGTAGGGAAAGTGGCAGTTTGCTTAGCAGGAAAAAGATGTTGTGGTCAGTCAGGGGAAAGTTTAAATTACTACACGTCAATACATTTGAGTGGGCTAATGTGTGCTCATGACTGGAGGAGAGAATCTCACAAAGGCTGACCCTGTGTGTGGTTTTGTTTATCATTAAAATAGGAAACACATTGCACTAAATGATTGTTTAAGAAGCTCTGACTTAACATTCGTGAATTCACTGAAGTTGTATGTTATGTATAATTGGGGCAATATGTGACTTGTCTACTCAGCCTTCACCTTTGTGGAAGTTTTATGGTATTGAGCTTGTCATTGTTTCCTCTGGTATCGGGGTCACGGCACAGAAAGGCACTGAGAATGGTTAGGTAGACCTGGGTGAGGGTGGAGGGTATCTGGACTTGTGTAAGAGGTGGCTGAGGTCTATTGATTGTTCCATCCATCATTATTCCTTCATTTCTTCCACCTTGATCTTCTCTTTGCACTTCACTGTCTTCTTCTTCTTCTCGTCCTTGAATCTGTAGTTCTTTTTCTTCAATTTCTCCGGCTTGCAGCCTTGTCTCACTCCCTCTATCCTTAGGTATCGGCGTCCTTCCTGGATCTCCACTTTCCAGTAGTAAATACTGCAGACAGATGCAGCTGATGTTGCAGAGAGCAGGGAGGGATGCCATGGCGAGTAGGTGCCGACTTGAAACAAGGACTTCTGCTGCCTTCACCCCAAGAGCTCTGTTTGCTGAGTCACCTTTGCAGTTGAGACATAAATTAGTTTAAGCCTTTAGAAATGAAAGGTAGACACACAGCTGTTTTTAGCTTTCCTCTTTTACATCTGGGTGGCCGTATCCTCACTCTCCTTTATTGCCCATAATCATTATAGTTTGTATGATAATTAGATGAAGTATATGGATTGTATATAATACCTAGCATGTTGTAGCACAGAGGTCAACTGCAAAAACATAAAACACTTGAGGGTTTAAAAGGACAGTTTCAAAATGCTACGGGAATTGAATTATAGGAGTTCTACAAAACGGAACTAGGTTTGATATGTTTCTATGCCACATCTTTTATAGACTTAGAAGTATTATTAATAAGCAAGTTTCTTTAGTGGTGATTTTCAATATGCTGCAGGTGGGAATGAATGGTTTCCTGTCTCTTTACTCCTTTTCACACATTCACTACAACCCTGAACTTATGTTCTTATTACCCGGAGAAGCTGTATGTGGAAATGCAATTTACCGACAATATTCAGACTTCACCCTGCAAGCACCAGGAACAGTGTGTGTAATGTCCTACTAAGGCCGTGGTGTGAATAAAGCTGCCATTTCTAGGGTATTCACAGCAAGTTAGTGGGCATGTTGATTAAAATTCTATAGCATCATAGAAGATAATTTAAACAAATATTTCAGTCCTGTATCAGATTGACGACTGACCTGGCCTGAACTTTTTATATTGATGCATTAATCATGACTTAAAATTAATCAATTATGACTTTTGGTGATTGGTGATGAATACTACCATCTATATTTAAAATTATATTTGATTTAATATATATTTATATACTGTACATATTGTTTTTTGGACCAGTTTCAGTTTGAGCTTTTTTTTTGTTTTTTACTTGGATACCACCAAACATAAGCTTGTATATTTCAAGTGTTATGTGTACCAGTTTGGGGATAATGGATGGTACTCAAACTATAACTGAAACCTGGACTTAAAAGTATTTATTAAATCTAAATTGGTTATTCTCTGACAATGAAGCATACAGATAGATACATGTGGATTTATCCATATGCAGAACGGTTTTACCTTTTTTGCCAAAATAGTTATCCACATACTCCTTGATCTCCTGGCAGTCCCAACCCAGCAGCTGCCCAACTTTATCTGATATGCCTTCCAAATCGAGTACATCACGTACACGACAAGTGACCATCAAGGTACATCCTGGGAGAAGTTGACGATTTAACAGGCCAGATATGAGGTCTGCTACAGGCAAAGGCTTTTCTGGGTCCAAAAGCTCTTTCTGCACATCTTGTTTGGTGATTTTGCTGTGAAATTTGTCATAGCCATCCAGCACCCAACAGCTCTGTTCTGGATTGGAAAGGAGGTAATCCACAATGGCTTCCTGCTCAGAACACAGAAATATAAGACAAACGCCCAGACAAAAGAGGAAAAGTATTAGTTCACCTGCTTGGAGATAAATACATTTGAGACAAGTATCGTGTTTGGTCTTCTGGCTTTCAAATACGAATTTCTAGAAACAAATGGTTCAAAATAAAGTATTTTAACTGATTAACATAGCTCCTGTTATTTATCCTGAATACGTTTTCTATTTTGCAGAATTTTGTCTGCTTAGAAAACTAGTTATTTATGCGAAGCTTCTGTAGAAACTGGGTCACCTGGAAGGTTTTAACGTTGGCTAACGTAAGAGTCCAGCATTGTGTAGCATGTGTATCACATGGTTGTAGTTAGTAGTTATTAGTAAAACAGAGAGGGGATAGTTTGAGGATACGTTTTTTTTTTTGTTTTAGAATAAAGGGTTGGAAATTAATCATTTTATAATGCTGTTTTTTTATTGAGTCTAACTGAAGACAGCACCGCCCAATTATCAAAATACTTGTCAATTGTGGCTCCACTCGTAACATCTGAACTGAACTATCCTAAATAGTATCTCTGACACTCTCTACTGCACGCTGCCAGCAACAATGGTTGTGGTCACTGTCTTTCACAGGGACGTAGTGTCGAAGCAGCAGCTCAGACAGGGAGAGAGGACGGGACAGTACGTTGAGCTGATGAAACTCCAGCAGGACAAACAGGCAAAATGAAGGGATAGGGCCCTTGATGATACAACAGCAAAGGGGATAGAAACAAAAACAGTGAGAGTATTAACACATGAAAAATTGAGAGAATGAACCATCAGAGAAGGGACAATGAAAAGGGGACTTATTTTACACACCAAAGTCTTTTTACAGGTCTTATGGAGAACTGTATATGTGAAAAGAGTTTCTCTCAAAGGCCACTCAAATGGGGCTGCGTGAAATGCGCAGTTAATTGAACACCCTGATCCAAGACAACGAATATGAGTATTGTTTATAATGAATATATATCATTTTTATGTAAATAAGTTGTAAAGGATTTAAACGCCCTTTAGATGCCTGTCACATCACCTGAGGCCATTTAACAGACTTGACACAGTTCCCTCTGCAACCACTAAACGCTTTTCAGTCTGTGGACCGGCACTAATGTAGAAAATGATGGGGTTACGCTTGGATTTGGTTGATGCTCGTCTATGGTTCAGTTGTTCGTAACATTCGTTTAGAAATACTTTTAAGGTGATGTAATAGCCCGTGACGTTCAGCCCAACGTATTGCCTGACTCGACATTCACTGTTTTATTTATTTGCACAAATAAAAGTGCAGAGTCAACTGATTCCAACTGCACATATTATCCCAGATATTGATGAAAATATGCACACAAAAGCAATGGAAGGCTGGTGATCAAATTGCAACCTTACTAGTCCATGTGCCCACTGTTGTCCTAAGCAAGACATCAGCAGAGTTTTTCCCGATCCAGCCGGGCCAACAAGAACTGTCACCTTCCCTGCACATCCCTGGAGGAAGTTCTCCAATGTAACTCGGGAATCCATAGACCCATAATCCCAATCAGGCTCTGAGTGGAGTGAAAAATAAATTGTTAATTAAATCTAAAGCAGACCTAAGTCATGCAGTAGGACAGCGCCAAGACCAAGCTGCACCAAAAGAGAAATATTTCTATCACCGTTGAGTGTTAAACCTCCTTGCTCATTGAAGCATATTTTGAATTACTTCCACTTGAATAAAAAATTTCCAATTTAACTTCAAAAAGAGGAAGAGTATTTTGTTCTCACCAGGTGTTCTGGCCCCTTTGTCCGCTGGGCCAGGAGTTTGATCAGGTCTTTCCCTCGTTCTGTTCGCCGTTCTCAGACCAACCCACACGTTCTCCAGCTGGACATCAGTCACCAGCTGCTCGCTGACTCTCTCCCACCTCCTCTGCAGTGAATGTTTCACTGTAGCAATGTACTGCATCCAGTAATCTGTCGGTATAATACATGAAAAAACGTGTAATTTGTAGAAGGAGAAGTAAAAATGATATGACCTCATTCATAAAAAAAAAAAATGCTATTTCAGCGCTTATATGTGTGAGTGTGCTCTTGAGTGAGTGTGCCAGGACTAAAGTATTTAAGATGCTAACCAATTTCTAAATTGGGTGGCATCACACACAGAATCTGATGTTTTCCTCAGTGGTCTAACTTAAGTGGGTTTTGAGAATAAATGTCTTCTGTGAAAGAGGGTTAATCTTCTTAAGCAGGTTGTGGCAACCCAGGGGCGGAGCACTCTGGACTCTGGACCTCAGGAGAGCAGCACAAAGGGCAGGGGCACCAACGAGCAAGCGGTCAGGTGACCAAAAGGGGAAACACCCCGCCCCCTCAGGAGACAACGAGCGGCCCAGGTGCAGCTCATAAGGCTGATGAAGGTTGGCCACACTATAAAAGACCAACCATTCCAACAGCCCAGCAGACAAGATGTGAGTAGAAGCTGGCTTCATGCCGGAGTTTGGTTGCAAGAGTGGTAAAGCCTGTTTATTGTGTGCTTCCTGCAGGAAGGAGACTAAAGGCCCGCTGAACCGCACCCTCAAAAGAGAAAGAACCTGAGTTTCTGTTTTTTGTTACTTTGTACGTTATAATAAATTGTACTCTTTTCTTGTGCAACTAGACGTGCTTCTGAGTCCGGTGATTCCACCCACACCCGTTGGTTGCCCCAAGGTGCAATAGAGACAACATTTTAGTTTATTCTATAGCCCTGCCTATTTTGCAAATATTAACTATTTCAACATGGACTCGGACCAGTCACGTTCACTGTTCACTGCTACAAGTTTGTAGCTTTGTGTGTGTGTATATATTCTACCAATCCGTGGCCGTTTGATGAGCTGCTCCAAAGGCGGCGAAGGCGACTTCCCAGCCATTACACTCTGATTGGAAGGTTCACACGCACCTAGAGAGCAGAAAAAAATGAAACATAAAAAAATAGAATTGGTTACCATTAAAAGAAAAATAAAGGATAGAGTTCAATTTACAACGTTAAATGTTGTCTGACCAACTGACATGGCTGTCATTATTCTTTATGGCTGTTAACGAATAATCTATATTCGAATATATATTTGAATATAGTTTATTAAAAACAACTGCTTTGCGGGTGGACGCGCACCTGTAGTGACTATATTGCATGAATAAAATAGACTACATAGGCTACTAGGCTACAACAACAAATTCATGCACTAGTTTGATTATTTGCCGTTTCATGCCAAGGAAAAGTTCCGTGTTTACAGCACAGGTCGCTCCGAGCGTTCAACTTCGGTACTGTAAAACTTTCAGTTTCAATCACTGAATGAAACCTGCCATAGTTGGGACAAGAACCGCGACATTAAACTGCTTGCACAAAACTCTTGATCAGCACTCAGCATTTGTTTATTGTTGTCGCTCATTTAAACCGCTTTGCGCAGAGAGAGAGAGATCTGCGGTCATTGGTTAATTTACTTATTTTTGTGTCGGTAATATGTGGTTAAATATGTTTAAACTTATAATGGATAATAAATAACCTATACAAGTAGTTGTGTCTCGTTGTATTAATTTGTCCTGTTATTATTACGTGCCTAATGCGCAACCAGATATTCGAATATATGTGTTTTTTTTAAAGCGAATATTCAAACGTAATTTTTTTTTTTCGACAGCCCTGTTATGCTTATTGCAGAATAAAGAGTCTGTGTAAAGTCAGCAGTGGGGAAGTACACTTCACATAACCCTGTCGGGTGCTGGAATAGAAGGTTCTTTCAATCAGGTTTTTTTCATGGAGAGAAATGCAACGAGAATTCATGCAATGTGTAATCCTTGCTAAATTACCCTTTGTACAACACATTATAATTAATTTTACATTATTTCTGCCTTGTATCTAAGCATTACCTTTAATTACTTTTTGGAATGACTGCACTACTGAAGTGACGTGGGGTTTTGGATTGATCACTCTATGCTTCGATACAACAAACTGTAACCAATGAATAGAAACATTCAGAGCATCATTTTCCACTCACTATTTTCATATCCAGCAGCTGACATGAGCTTGGACTCCAGGTGCATGGGGATGTTGTCACACAGGACACACATGCTCTGAAGGAAAGTGCGGCAATCTGCAGCGTTGGCCACCCTGAAGTACTCCAACAGGGCTTTAATGTGTTCTGTGACTGCTTCTGAAGAGGCATTACCGGAGGCCTGGTTGATGTTGCAACCAGCATCACTTGGCATCATCTGGCACAGTTTCATGATGACTGCGGTTGATTGACCGCTAAGGATGTGGACCAGTTCTGCTGATTCATGAGCCAATACAGAGTTCACATATTCACTGTCGGGATCAACCTCTTCGTCCATGGTCAGACTCCATCAGCTGAACAAATGAGCAAACAGGAAAACAAGCACGCGTTCAAATTACCACACTGTGGCCACACGTCAGCTTTGATAGAGGAAATATATGAAACCAAACGAGAAAACAACTATGTAAAATACTGGGGAGCCACCTGCATTACGTATTTTATTTCAACTAGTCAGGAAACGTTTCTCCCAGAGTTGGTTTAACATGGCTTTCTCTATCCTTTTAATAGTCTCAATTTTCCTGTCTTCTTTTTGAATTTTATGAGCAAATACAATGAAGTGTTATGATTAAATAATTCTCTTTCAATCCTAAATCAAGTAGATTCAATGCATTAATATTCAGAAACAGACAACACCATGCATGGCACTCAGGTCATATGGGCCGCACCTCTATTCAGGGCGTTACGGTAGAGAGCCTTGTACAGCCCAAAAGGCACTATTCACCATTTTGGGCTGTAGTGTCATATCCCTCTTCTAACTGTCTTTAAACAAGATCCATCAAAGGTTTCACTCTTTTGTCACTTGATTCCATTTAAAGAGGTCCTCCTTTATGCCCACGTATATTTTTATAAACCTTTAATTTACCAAAACTACACAGTAATAGATCATGAAAATATACAGGGGCATAGAGGAGGTCCCCCTTAAGAAGAATCAAATGATAATAGAGTTTAACATTTTATGGATCTTGTGGTGTATTTAGTACTATTTAATATGTCCTGAATAGTCGGACATACGGCGTCCAAGTGACCGCCGTATAATGTCCGAGATCACAAAGCTTCATTGGCGCAGGTGCTTGCGAAGTTCGTTAAAACCAAAATCAAGTGGACTCATTATTGTAGTACTACACTATTTATTTTGATGAAATGGGCTGACGATTTATTGTGATTCAAAATAACTATTGAAGTACAGCCCATTGGCGTGTGTAATGGTGTTGGTATATACGCGGACTGAACCTTGAAGTCCAACTCTTTGAATATCTTGTCAACTTTACCAAACTGTCCACTTTACTTTTGGACGGTCAGAACAATGACTTCAGTCTAAATTAATTGCATTAAAATCTGCAAGATAAGAAGCGTTCCTCGAGCCTGTCTATCACCGCAGTGGGCTGAGTGGTTGATCTGCAGCCCCAGACGCAGACAAGATGCACGAAACGGTGCCGTTTTAATTCGATAAGTGAAATATAATGAATAAAATAAGCACTCACCAACAACTGTTTTCGTAGACTGCGTTTCTCTGCAGCCAGAGTATCTATTTTATCAAAACGAAACTAAAAGGAGCTGCTGCGTTCAACGTTTTGGTTTCGCTTTTGCGCTGTACGTGGGATTTCTGCCAGAATGCTCTTAAGGTTTAGGACAACGCTTGAATTTTAGTGCACTAATATTCTCACATTTGCGGTATTAAACAGGTAACCGGAATAAGGGCTATTAAAATAGCAAATTCTGGTCAAAGATAGAAGTATGTGTGTACAGGACCTCTCTGACTACTCTGCGTGACTCAATATGTCACGGTTTTGGGTTTACTTCCTGACTTATTTTGTAGTTTCATGCCTCTTGTGTCATAGATATGTATCTGGAGCGGGGGGGACTTTCTGCTTGGGTCATCAACGTTACCTCCGCTGCTCCCGTTGCCAAACCGTCCAGTTGGGGGATGAGAAGGGGAGTCGCAGCGGAAGTGACGTATGCGGTCGACGAATGCCCTTGAGGATGCAGCCTTGCGTTCTTGTGTGGACTTTTGTTCTCGTGGACTCGTGAAACGTCATCAGTCACAGCCCGAGTACTGTTCCAATTCTCAAGTCCGCATCTGGCCGAGAACGGTCATAATACCCGGATGTGACTCGCCCCGCCCATTTTACCGGGCATGCATCGAAGCAGACTCGTCTGTTCTTGTGAGAGACATATATCCCAGAATGCATTTCACCTCAGCAAGCTGCGATGGGAGATGAGAAAACGCACAACTGTAAGTCGTCTTTTATTAAATACCACTATTGTTAATTAACGGAATGTGATGTGAACACTTTTTAAGGATACAAGTTAGCGGTTTAAGCAACAAATGTGTTGTCAACATTCAGCCTATTTAAAAAAAATGCCTTGTAATAATGGGTGTCATTGTGCATTTGAACTAATATGACCGTGGTATCTTCAATAAGGGACAACTGAGGAAACCCAAGCCCTCATAGAGTGGCGTGCGGGCAACGAAAGCCTGTTCACAGGCCAACGAAACTCCAGCAAGACTGGATGGGAGTGAGTATTGAGCTTCTATCAGTGTGTAATTATGAGGAGGGCCAGGGTCTTGGGCCATCTCCAATGCCTCATGACCAGCAAGATGAGCAAAGCCAGCCCCAACCTCCTCCATCTCCTCCGGTTTGGGGAAATGAATGATCCGGTGTATAATGGTCATCATTTCCTCCACAACATTGTGAACCATCCGGCAAATTGTTGCAAGCGGCATTGCAAATACGTCTGCAGTGACCCTGTAGGAGGCTCCGCAGGCAAGCCAGTAGACAGTCACCAGCACCTCCATCTCGTGGCTCCACCCGTGGGGTTTTTGCCGGGGCAGAAGCTGGACCAGCATGTTAAAGCTGTTCCTGGACAGCCTGAATGCTGGCCTCATGTCGGCCTCAGAACAAAATATCGAAATGATGGGGACATCATTCTTCATCACAGCATATTTAGTAACAGGATGTTTGTTCTGTAATAAACAAATGCAACAACTGTATTAATATTGTTAAATTGGTTATTCAGTTCGTAATATTAAAGAGATGCTGCATTTTACGATTATGCTTTGACTATTTCATATAGTTAATAAAAACGTTTCCATGGATTCCATAATGAATGAGGTCTTGCTGCGTTTTGCAGTAACGCATAATGATGTTTATGCCTCTGTCCATCTGAATACCAACCTCTTAATGTTTGAATACCAAGACGACCATTAGGTGTGTATGCTTTAGTAGGCTAATCGATGGTCAGATGCTGTTACTGTATCAAACCTCCTCTGTACCTGGTGGTTTATTAGGCCTGGATTAAGCTAACCTTGATACACATAACAACTGCCCTATCATTAATAACATCTGTAGGTTTCGTATGTAAAAGGTATCTTTTCTGTAATGTGCCTTTGAGGGCATTGCTCCAAACAAAATCTGTATTACAACCACCTTGCAGTATCAGCCACAACAGTCAAACAGCAGAGAAAACCACAGCTGACATTAATATAAATGATTACATATCATCAATGCTTTATACTGAATTAAACTTACAAAGAAAGCGAGACATGCTATTATGGCACATCTCCTCGCCATCCTTCGCCTTATCTTGGATTTTCGCTTGCGTATGGTTCTCCTGAGTTGGGCAGCCTCCTCTTCAGCTTCTGTATACAGTTTGCCGACCGCAACAGCAATATGTATCAGATCCATTTAGTTACTACTCAAATTAATTAATTATTAAATATAATAATACCAATATGTTTTTATTGTGCTCTTCTTTGCCAGCTACTCAATCAGAATACTTTTGCAATTTCAACAAACACCTTCCACAACCGTTAACACGCTGGTGGCTTTTTATACATTTCCACTTGCATGCACCGCCTACTGTGGTGACGTCATCAAGTCAGCTGCTGTTCCAATTGCGGAAATGTCCGTTCTCCGTTCTCCCGTACCCGTGAGTCAGGACTCCCGAGTCTGTCTCCCGAGTCTATTCTCGCGGGAACGCGAGTCCGTTCTCGCCGTCTTAGGTATTGAGAAACGGCCACAGCCACAGCTACGGCCTGTCCCCTAGGTCAGATTCACTTCCTGCCTTGTCCTGTCATCCCCTGTAATTGTCTGCCGTGTCCACGATTCTTTCCACCTGTGTCCAATCACCTGCACCTTCCCAGTTTATTTAAGCAATGTGTGTCTCTTGTCCCTGTTTGCGTCATTGAATATATGTCTTACCAAGTCGCTTGTCTTACCATGTCTTCATAAATGTTCTGCCTGGAATCTCGTTGTTTTGGAAATTCCTGGTACCCGGCCGTGTCTGCGGTTTTTCTCCATCTGAATTTTTTTGTGTCACTTAAATGATCAAAATGCAAAAAGTAAGTAAAAGTAAAACCTCAAAGTAAAACCTCTATAATTGCAAGTTCAAAAATATAATTTCTCCACATTTGGACTGCATAAAAAAAAAAAGTCTAAATAGTTCCAGACAAAGACCAATGCATATGTGTTAAGGACATTTATGACTACTAGCATGCTGAATGTGAAGTATGTTTACGGTGTTTTTAGAGAATTATCCAGAGTATAAGTATAAGTGTTTTGGCAACTTCAAAACTTCCTAATACATCCTGTACCCGAGAGGATTAATTCGGTAAAACTGTACAAAAAAACAATGCTTACAATAGAACAGGCATACAGCGTCAGGCACATGTTCAAGCCAGTACGCCATAATTAAGTGCCGCAGTCCAATCAGTCTCCACTGCAAGAAGTAAAGGGGACTCCTGAGCTGTGGCTCAATCTAATCCCCGTGTTCACAGATACTTTTGGTCTACACAAGATTTGCCCCACAACAAGGATCACCCAAACTTATGTTGAACGCTGACAGAAGGGCTCTTAGGAAGATCCAACCAAAAATATGCCTCTTCTATCTGCCCATCACCTCTCAGGCCTTGGTGAGCTGCAGTCTTGTGCTTTCGCATTTTGAGACTTAAATAGATTATACCGTCAAAGCTACGCTTATGCGATCTCACTTTAGTGACTTCTCAGCAGACATGGCCTTTTACAGAAGATTCAACAACTGTCTTGTCCTTGTGGACCACCACCACCTTGTCAGCCAACAACTGACTCGGACTTCTCTCTTCCTTCTCAGCACCCTGACAGCTATCTTATTACATGAAGTTAGTGTAATTATAGATGTGGCACATCAAGTCTTAGCTTGAGAAAAACGTGTTGAAAAACATTGAGCAAATGTATTATGAATTATTATGAAAATGAATTTCTCTGAACACAGGCAGACTGTTGTACAAACTGAGCAGATGATGACAATTTATTTTTATCTCCTCTGGGGAAAACTAGGAGTCAGTAATGCAGTAATTATTTTACTCAGTATTTCTGAATTCAGTCCCATTTGTGGTAACCATATATGATTATGAAAACCTTTTACTTCTTTCTTTTCATCGTAGGTTAGGTGGCATGAGCATCATATCTAACCTATCTAAGTGAGGAAAACCCTGAAGTGGGTGGGACTATGTGGTAATCCATAAAACAGCTGCAAGCTCATTGCGACTGCCAGTGAACCGTTACCTGAACATCAAGTAATTATTTCTTAATGTGACTTAATAATTACTTAATAAGTATTTGTTCTGTTTTTTTTTAGAATGACATACCCCCAAATCAGTGCACAAATAAGGACATATAGTGACATCAATATGTTTCATCTGATTATTCAATATAGTCAACCAAGGGAGTCCTGATGCCATGGAAAGTTTGCTTACCTTGCTTTAAGACGTTAAATAATTGTACATAGATATTTTAATTGAGACTATTACACCCAATTATTTAATTTTTTTGTTTATTAAGTTATTAAAAAATATATCGTGAATCTCATCTGGGTGTTTTGAATGTACACAATAATATAAAAATATAATTTACGGGACAAACATTATTCTGATCAAAGAGTTGGTTCCTCAGTCTACTAAGGATGCCATAATCTTTGAAAATGAAGTTCACCACCTCGTCATGCCAAAATAAGTTCCAAAACAACTGTACCCCTACCTATATGAGAACTAAATTGTTCTCTGATGTTCTCCTGTCTTGTTTTTCAAACATTTAGAAATTGTATTCATGTGAAATTAATAAACAAATTATTACATCTGGTTTGTGTGTGTGTGAACTCAAACATTGCCGGCTTAAGGTAGGGATTCTCCCAAATGTAGTACCTCCAAAATATCTCATGGTTTAAGACTCAGCTGTCATCCTCACCATATTTGACACATTAACCTGCCTGAACCTCTGCTTTGTAAGCAAACCAGACTGAATATAAGGAGTGCAAGGACAACCACAGACAGTATGCTGGAAGACCGGTGGAGGTCCGGCTTGTGGTGAGGTGGTCTACTGTTATGCCTTCTGCTAATCACATGTATTCACATATTTATGTATTCATGTATTTTACAATTGATAGTGTACTTCAACTTAATCAGTAATCAAATCACTTTGTGCTTTGCTTTGACACAATATGAAATGTGTATTTATCAACCTAATTTATAATATAATATGTGTAGTTATATCTTAACAATTCGTTTTGATTGTTTGCTGCACCAACTAAATCCTTCTGTTTTCACCAGGTTTGTGGAATACAACATTTTTTTCACAAAGGGAAAGAGTACGGTATGTAAAACCTTTACAAATGATTAATTATTTATTCATATTTATTTATCTGTTTAATCTTTGACCTCAGGTGTTGTGAATCCAATTCAGATGAAACTCAATAATGCTTGGAATTGATCATTTAAAACAAATCAATTATATCTCACATTTGCTTCAAAAGGTCCTTAAAACTGCAATTCAGACCACCTTAGTGTAAAAATTCAATTACACATCAGAAAGAGCAATTGAAGAGAGATTTCTCTCACAATGTGTTTTATATGCTGTGTAGACAGAACAGAGAAACATACTATATTTGCAGTTCAAACAGTCAGCCTGTCGGTTTGAAAGGCTTTTACTAAGCTTACGAATGTAATTAAGCAACACATTGTTTAAGTTTGAATGTGGTAACTGCTCAGTGCAACACCAGGTTTTTGGGCAGTATTCAACAACATGAACAGACAGAAAAAGATGCTATTGTTTGACTTGTTTCTTTTTTGATACTTAAGCATTTTATTAGGGGGGGGGGCGGGGTTATCAAGGGAAAACAATACTTCATAGGAAAAAAAAGACAAAGGGGAGAGAAAAAGAAAATTAAAAAGGAAAAAGGAAACAGAACCACAAAAGATCATGCTCCTGGCAGAGGCCAGCGAGGAGAAAACACACCAAACACATCAAACATTGCCTATATAAGTGCTACAAGAAAATAAATAAATACACATGTGACAAAATATTTGTGTCAGGTCAATCTTGTATTTTGTCCAACTGTCAGATTGTAGTTTTATTCCGCTGTTCTTGTCATAACTTTTCTTAGACCTTGATCAAGGGTTAGATGTATAACAAGACCCATAAGTAGCTGCATAAGATCGCATCTTGGTTTGGCGTGGTAGTGTTACTTTTGAAGAAAGCGAACCACTCTGTTGTGAAATGATATAAGAGAACAGACACAGATCTCAACGACTAGGTACTCTTGTTCTGCCATATATTTCATCCATCCCGCCCACTTTGCTGTGTATTTACCTCCTCTTAATCTAAGAAAATGTTAGAAAGTCAATCTTTTCATGTCGTGGTCCATGTTCTTTTACCATTTCAGCCCAGTGTCTTATAGAAGAGGGGTTGGGTTGTAACCATTTACGAGTAATTGCTTTCTTTGCTGCTACTGCTCGTATTTTTAGGGGGTATCTATCATTTCCTGTTATTTCTTCTGGTAGATAGCGTAAATGGGGTGACTGGCGTGTGAATAGGATCCGGTGCCCAAGGATATGCTGCATAGTTCTCCACATATTTTCCCAGAATACCTGTACCTGTACAGCCCCAAAATTGTATTCGCTCGTATACCTTGGTAAACTTTTGAAATCATTGATTTGGAACCTCCTTTGAACACACCTACTTTTAATTTAATCATTTTATTAGGTTCTGTCGTTTCCCTTTTATTCATTTCTTTAAAAATGTTATATTTTTCCTTCAGTATCTGAAAACTTAGTAGTACGTTTTGCTCCATTTTGGGTCCATTGTTTGACTTGTTTTGCAGACATAAGGCGCTACCATGAGTACGGACGCGGAGATGGCAATGTATGGCAAAGCTGCTATTTACCTTCGTAAGCCAGAGAGGGAGAGGATTGAGGCCCAAAACGCACCATTTGATGCCAAGAGTGCCTGCTACGTGGCTGATGTTAAGGAGCTGTACTTGAAGGCCACAATCCTCAAGAAAGAGACTGGCAAAGTCACTGTCAAAGTCCTGACCACTCAGGAGGTTGGTAACATAAAGCCATAGTCCGTTTAGGATTTCAATAAGATCAGTTCTAATTGTGACATATCTCTTGTTATAGGAGAAGACGGTTAAAGAAGATGAAATCTTTCCAATGAATCCTCCCAAGTATGACAAGATTGAGGACATGGCCATGATGACCCATCTCAATGAAGCCTCTGTGCTGTATAATCTCAAAGAGCGTTATGCAGCTTGGATGATCTATGTAAAATAATCTAAATAAAACAAAAAAGGAAAATTGACAGTAAAAAAGGGACTTTATTTTTAGGATAAAGTTAAATGTTGTATCTCTGTGATCACTTTCAGACTTACTCTGGACTGTTCTGTGCCACTGTGAACCCCTACAAGTGGCTCCCAGTGTA